CAACACAAAAGAAACCCAAAAAAAACCCACCAAAAAACCACACCAGACCCACACACTAACAGACACAAACCAAGTAGAGGCACAAAAAAAACCCAAAGGGGAAAAAACCAAATCAACTTACACCAGCTTACACCAGTTTAAGGGAATAAAGAAAAAAAGCAGAAGATATACAAGTAGGGCCCCCCCCCCCCCCCCAAAAAAAAAAGGAAAGAACTGAAAAATGTAACAAAGAACAGACTGTGTTTGATTACCAGGCTATAAACCTTAGCATGCACTGCTTAAACATGGAGGAACAAATTTTCTAGCAGGCTGGTGCTATTGTGTAAAGATGGATTTGAGCCAAACTCCCAGATTTGAAACCCCATGAACTTCAGTAAGCCCAGGCCAATCCTTGGCTTAGGTTCATCTCAAACATTGCAAGCACAGGAAACGTATTTGAACAATTGGAGATCCAAAAGGGGAAGGTTCATGCATAATGTGTCCACTATTTGCACACACAAGGGGCACATCGGTGCCAACATGGACATTTGTCCCCTTGATCGTTATGAGAACGTTGTTAGAGCGTCTTTGAAAACACGCTGCACTGTAACACAAAGGGAATGTTTCTGGCATGTGTCCTCAGTACTTGGATTGGTTACTAACTAATCTCTTTAGTGGGGAAAGCTTTATATGGCTTCTGTAATTTTACCCAGATAATGAATCCCTTGCACATTGCCCTTACTTCTGTGGTCCCCTCTGAGCCCTTTCCTGGGTCGTGTGGTGGATTCCTGCTCAGAGGACAACTGGTTTATTACGGGTTTAAGCAATGCTGCCTTCTAAGTGGGGACTGTAGTGGGTAGTTTTTCAACAAATTATCAATTATACCCAGACCAACCAGAAAGATTTATGTGCTAGCTTTAATAAGCATTGTGCTCATTTATTTGCTTTCTCTTTTGCGGCAGAGTAAACTCTGGCTTCCTCCGAGCTGTGCAGCTGCTGGAAGTGGCAATAAGACAGCAAGTGTCAGGCACAGTGGTGCTGTGATTGAGACACGCATCCTGCGCTTGCTGTGTCTGAGGGTTGCATCTGGAGCTGGAGAGGGGAAAAGTTTAACGTGAAAATGAACTACACGCAATTGCCAGTTTATGGGGAAGCTCGTAAGAGTTCCAGCTGGTGGTGGCACTGGGCTGTTGAAACTGTTCTTCTGGAGAAACTAGAAGAAGAAATTTTAAAAATGCACGTGTGTGCTATTCAGTTAGCAGAAGTGTTCAAGCATCCTAGAATATTTCTTACTAATAAGAATATAATCGCCAACTTCTAAATCAAATGTATTTTGTGAGTGTTTCCTGTGGAGAAAGCTAAGTGAGCGTTTATCACCATGGTAGCAGTGCCAGCCTTAAAGATGTAGAAACACAAGATGTGAATATTTTATGGTTCTGTGACAGAGCTATCATCGGAGCATGCCACCTCCTTGAACTGAGCTGTCTGTATGACACTGAGCTGCAATTTATGCCAGTTTGGTTGACTGCAGTGTGGGACCTGCCAAGGTCCATCACATGAGTGGCTGCAGTGAGCTGGAGATCATGCTAAACCAGGCAGAGGATGATTTTGTAATTCCACACTGGCGATGTGGGTCCATCCCCTCCTCAGGGTCAGGTATGGAGTGGCGAGGATCCTGGGGAAAAACAGCTGTGAGTTTTGTCCTGAGACCAGGTGACATTGTACTGTTACAGATTGTCATAGCACGGAGAAGTCAGAACAAATACTGTGATACAACTCCAGCCTGTCCTGACTTCACTGGTTTCCATCTTGCTGCACTTCTGTAGAATTATCTGGTATGAGTTAAACGCTCTAAGTGTAGGTCTAGAACTGAAGATCTTTTTTTGAGCAGTTAGCACAAAAATAAACAGGGGTAATGCTGTATCCAGATTGCCATCCTTAAACAGGAGGGGTCTCCAGAGAAAGCTCTTAGTGGGGTGTGTGCACTGCTGTGGGCAGACACAGGGTGCAGCCCTTGGGAGTATTATGCCATTCCTTTTCCAAAGCTGGCATTTACCTGTGCTGCATGGCTGCATTGGCTGCATAAAGGTCTCGGTTTACTCTACCAGATACTCTCCACACACCTGGTGACACCAATATTCTTAACTTAGAAGCTCCAACAGAGATATGAGCCCTGGTGTGCTGTGTCTTAGGAGATCCCTCTTACCCCAGGGAGTGCACTGACAGGCTTGTTTGAGCTAAATGGGAGCTCTATCCTTAGTCTATTCAACTATATTTCTTTCTCTTTTTCATATAATTTGAACATAAGCTTCTAATACTGTATCAGACACGAACTGATTGTTCTTTATCAAAATCTGTACTCTATTGTTAAAGCTCTGCAAGGTTAACACACGCACGGCAGACTATTGAAACAAGCTGCTTAGAGTGCTTTCTTGTAATGTCTAGATACCAAACATTTCTCTGACTCATGCTTGTACATCCCCCCTGCAGTGATTTTGTAAGTCAGGACAAAATTTAGACTACGATTTGTTATCTGGTACATATTTGTAAGACATTGCCAAACAAAAAGCTAAATTTAAAAACTATGACTTTTGCTGTCGGGGGTACCAGACTTGCCAAAGGAACATGTGTCAGCAATTTTAGGCTTAGCAGCCACGTAATTGTGAAGTATATTTATTTTTATGGATATTCGTGGATGATAAAAGCTGAGATATTTCTGCTAGCTGTTCAAATTATGTTTACTGTTGCTGCTTTTTGATTATGAGTGTCACATCAAGAATTTTCATGGGAATGGAAAAAAAAAAAGGTGCATGGAAACTTCTTTTGTTTATGTGTATGACAAAGTTACTATATCCAAAAGAGAAATGCTTTTAATGGTTTGATTTGGCTTGTAAGCTCACATGGACAGCCACTGGGTCCTGCACGCATATTCTGACTTTATTTGCTTCATCGTGCATTGCCTTTGTCAGTTAGTTTTTTTCCTGCCTAATGGTATTTTATTTCTCTAAACTGTTTTGCTCAGTTGAGGGGATGGGGAAATAGACTGTGGCTTTGGATATAGAAAATAAGACAGAGAGACAGACTCTGTGGTGCAGGGAAGGGAAGTGTGTTTGAACCTTAGGTCCATCCTACATCACAGGGTCAGTGTAGCTGAGCTGGGAAATAGGGTGATGTGATTTTCCCAGCTCACACCTGAATCATATATGGATATTAATATATAGCCTGGTTCTCTGAATTGAAACATCATTAGGAATTGCTCCAAGGTTTGCTAACTTCTTAACCATCTGATATACACCTTGGAGATAAACCAAATGACACAGCCTGTCCTTCTGTCGACAACGATGGCTTTCTTCCAGAAGTAGTTATCTTTAGTATACCTTAAGAATAAAATGCTAGTGCCTAGTTCCTTACCTAAAATACTGATCTTGAAACTGTTTTGTAGTCATTTTATTTTCCATTCATGGATGGGGCAAGTGTTTTCAGTTCAAATAATCCTGGAATTGAGGTCTGGCAGTGGAATTATTTCAGAACTGATTTTTGGACAGAGGCTTTTGAGGAAATCTGATGAGGGAGCCTTTGAATGTGTTCTGCATGGTTTCTTCAACTTAGCACAGTCAGAAAATGGTATCTTACACTGCTGTAAACTTGACTAGTATATCACAGTAAAGGCTTCTATGGTTTCAGTCACTGAAAGATGCTGTAGCTACCTTAACATGTGAGTTTGCTCATGGCTGTGTGTCATCAGCAATGGTGGCTGTCATTTAATTGTCCAGCAGCTGTTCCACTGCCTTTCCTTTGCCCACTGTCACTTCTGTGGCTGTAGCCAGCCCTGAAGCATTGTGGATCAGGGCCAGTGATTCATTTCTAGTCTGTGTTACTAATGTGCAAGACTTTATAGTCATCTGTTAGCAGTTGAGCTGTAGATGCAAAAGCCCATTCTGTTAATTCTTTGGTGATAAACAGTAGGATTCCAGGTGATACCCTGTATCCTGCCATCACTGATCTGAACCTATCTGTAGAAATTACTGCCTTCTGTTTTGTCTCAGGAGAATGAAAAATTAATCTGTTACCACCTTGCTACCTTTGTTTTTTAATAAAGACCACCACCAACTTACTGCAGGAGCGTCAGCTCGGTGCTCCCTCCGTCCTGTCCTCTCTTGAGATGACTTGGTATCTGTCATCCCTTTTTGATGCTGTGTCTGTGGGGTGAGATTCCAAGGTTTGTAGTCAGCTTATGCAGATCAGCAGGGTCTGGCCATGGACCTTTCATAGACTCATGTCTATGTGGGAAGATGTGTTCTCCTGTGGGAATCCAGATCATCTCACTGATCTGGCTGAAAATTAACTTTAAAAATATGCTGACATGTCAGTTTTTTATCAACTCTGACAGGGCCCCATCACAAGTGCTGCTGTGACATACTCTGTATCTCATCGTCAAGGAGAAAAGCTTGGTCTTACGTGTTCCTAGCTGTCACTGCAGGTCTGAATATGTGTTATGGTGAGAGGATTCTGGATAGACAGGAGACCGCAGGGAAGGAGGAACAGCTGTCAGGGGCATCATGCATGTTGCTTTATCCACTGCTCTGGTAAAGAGTGGAGCAAGCAGATCAAGTCAAAAAGCAATGCTTGCTGTCGTTGTCATCTTTGCCTCTGGACATTTGACCCTGTGTTGGGAGTTGGTCTTGGGCCAACCAAGACAAGAGCCATCACCATTGTGACAAAGAGTCAACCTTGCTGAAATCATTAGCTAAGGCAGAACATAGCCGATGTGAGACCAGGATCAAGATTTCTTGTTGGTATTTTTTCCCCTAGCCCAGGATAAGGGCATTTAGCTTATGAACTTATTGTCATCTTGGTTGATAGTAAATAAAATTAAATTTATATACTGAACATCAGTTGCTTTCCCTGGCTTTTCTAGGACGAATCCTGGACTTGAAGACTGGAACGGTAAAGAAAGAGGGTCAGCAGTCCTCAATGAGAATGTGCATGGGATCAAGGCGCTCTTTCATTTGCAGGATGAGGTACGCATTTACCTTGTATCCCAGAGATGGTTCCAGTCCCGCCTCAGATTAAACTTCAGATATTTTGTTGCACTAATTTGACCTTGCTTAAAAAAATGAAGCTGTAACAACACACTCCTATTAAGCATTTCCAGAACACTTGCTTTTGGAACCGAAGTAAAACCGAAACCTGTCTTCCTTTATGATTAATGACAAAACATTTATGTATTGCCATTATTTTTATCAGTGTGGGATGTAGGATGCTTTCACAAGAGAACTTCATGACAACTTCACCCCTGGAATGTAAGCCATTGTCTCTTCTAGTCAAATTATTCAAATCAATACTTTGGGAATAAAGCTTTCGCAAGTGTAATGAAAGCCCAACTCTGTGTATTTTTTCAGCAAACCAATAATATTAAAAGAATCTTGAAGACAAACAGGAATTCAGTTGCAAACTTGCCAGCTATGTAGGAATTAACCTAAGCCTGGTATGAATTAACCAAATGTCAGCTGGTTGATGCTAGATAAATGAGTAATTGTTAGAGGGGGTTTATTTTGCAATCTTCCAACTTTTCCTGCATTGCTGGGGCTTTTTTAAAGATATCTGCCTGCCCAATGCTTTTGACTGGGGCTTGTGGGCACTTTTGTTGTTGTAGGGCTAACGGGATAAAATGCCTGTAGCTATTGCAGTGAATTTTGCTCTGTGTGGTTAAGGGGGAAAAGTCCATAATTGCATCTGCAGCCTGTATCCAATATATGTGTTGAAAACAGATGATGCAGAATTTGTTACAGAATGAAGCACACAAAGCAAAACATTTGACAGATTAAAATGGATCCCTGTACTTCTGTTATGTGGTGGAATTCTTCCAGTCATGTGAGGAAGCTGAACATGTGGCTCTTGGGTTCCTTTGTTAGCAGGTTTATATACTTCATACCTGCAAGATTAGACTTCAGCTGCAGCTCCTTTTCCCCCCTTAACTGGGTGGAAAGAAATACATATATATGCCTGGCAGGCAGACACTTGTAACATTGCTTTCTCTTCCTCCAAGCTACACATAGTGATCATGTGAGGAAGACTTTTTTGTGCAAAGAAACCCAGGCCTAATGTCCTATTTGAAATTGTTCTCCAGCTTTTTAAACGTTCCAGATTGCAGTTATTTCCTAGTATCCCGATTCTGTAAACTCCAGTGCATGAGAGTAATTTTATACATGCCAGTAGCCCCATTGTTTTTGTAATTCTAAATCTTATTTTAATTGTTCATTCCTTCTCCTTGGCAGTGATTGGTATATGTAAAAAAAAAAGAATAATAATAACAATTAAAAGAAGACTTTTGGAAAGAATGAGCCTCAAATAATGTGAACTTGCCTTGTGATTACTTCTTTCATTGTTATTGTTCTTTTTTCTGTTGAAAATGAACTGATTTTACCCTCCAAATTGTTTACTTAGCTTCAAATGGATTGTTAAAATTATACAGTTAGGCATAGATAGAAATATCACAAAATATACATGAACAAGTGTTAAATAAAGTTACTTGACAGTGTAAATAATCTGTTCTTGCAAACATTAGATTAATATCTACTGACATCATAGCTGGTTTATGGCAATCAAAATGCTCTGTCCAGGGAAGTTACTGGAACACTGACATTGTTTTGTGTGGACATTTGGGGGCCTGACTTATATTCTTCTCTAGTTTTCACCCTTGTTTTATAGTATTTTTAAGTGCATCTATTCTTTAGCCACTCTTGGAAAATCCATTTCAAATAACCTTTAGGTTTGGGGGGGTGAGAGGGAATCTTTTTGTAGTCTATTTTTCATTGTAAAATAAAGAAAATATTTGGAGCATACGCAAAAAGCTCAGCCTGTGGAAGCAGTAGCTTCTAAGAAAACATGAATCTGTGGCATTCTGACAAATAAATATCCACTATTGTCTACGCTAATAATGATATTAAAATGCATTTTCATCTTGGGTATTTATATTAATTTTTGAGCCCTTTCAAATATTAATTTGCTTTTAGGTGTGGAAATGCTCCTCTGGATCATTTACCTCTGAACAGGATAACCACCATGAGAAAAAGATACAGGTACTATTACTTAATTTACCACAACTGTTAGTTGCCATAAGCCCTCATTTTCCACTGGGCTCAGGCTCAGTCAAGGACTCAATCATAACGCTGGGTTTCAGGAGAGGAGATCTCACCACTAAATTCAGCTGTGGTGGAGTCGCTGGATCTTTTTGCAAGCCTTGAGAAAGTCACTCAACGTCTTTGTTGACCAGCTTTGACCAGCTCCATCTCTGAAGTAAGCTTCAGTATCTTTCTCCAAGAAGTATTAAGGAAAACAAGTAAAGCTTGAATAATGTTGTAATGGAGCTGGCGTTGTACAGAACTCTAGGTTGATGGTTGGTTGTTTCTAACATAACTTAAAACTGTCAGTAAATCGTAATTAGTCATAATTTAAAAGCGTAAAGCTATTCTGCACATAAATCAACATGATATTTTTGTGTTTCCTTTTCATTTAGGAATGGCCTTGGCCCAGTAAAAGAAGGCGAAGCACAGTATGCTGTTGTCCATTGCACTGGCTATATCAAGGCTTGGCCACCAGCAGGTACCTATCTGTCTCACTGGAGGGGGGGACACCACACTGTCTGCAAGACAGGTGACAACCTGGCTCAGGTTCCTTTGCTGGTACAAAACCAAGTTGTATTTTAGTGGGGTAACCAGTTCAGTCTCATCTTGAGAAGCTTTTGATGTCGAGAAATCAGCTGTTGTTACTTACCCAGAGCCGCCCTGTTTTTCCATGTGAAACCCTTCTCAATTTCCTTGGCACAGAGAGCTGTAGCAATTGTCAGTAATGCAGGGTTCCAGCAACTGGGGCCAAAAGTTTTCAATCTGATAAACCAACATAAAAATGGCCTAATTTTAAGAAGGTAAACACAAAGCATTTGTACCTCTGGAAAACACCAACTAAGTGCTTTTATATTTAAGCAGTGAGTTGCAAGCATCTGTGTTTGAAAATGTGCCATTTCAATTGATGTGCATAGGTCTTCACTTCAAAGCCGGTGGTGGAGGATGTTCAGTCTTTGCGATAAGTTCTGTTTTGTGACTGTTTTTCTGGGAAAGATGTCTTGGCACATCGCTTTCAACTACAGAGAAAAACATTTACCTACTGCAACTCAGTATTACATATGGGAATATTTACCTTTGAAAAATCCAAAGTGGAGACAGTGGAGCTCATCCAGACTTCATCATGAACTGGATTAGTTGACCTTGGCGTTCGCAGTAGTGGAAGAGGCTGTTTGCAGTATGACAGTGCCTGCTGGCATGAATCAAACCATGAGTTGTCCTGCCCTTTTGCGGTTGTATACTGCAGGCATAAATCACATTTGTCCAGGAATTATGAATGCTAAGAGGTGGTTTGCACCAAGTTTGTGCGGTGGTGGGAAGACACCAGCACACAGGTGGGAACTTCTTATGGATTTCCTGATGAATTGCAGGTTTGGAAGAAGAGGAAAGCCTCCCCTCTTGTTGCTAATAGGATTTAATGTAATGCTTGCTGTAGGAGTCAAAATGTTTCAATTTCATTTCTGTCTCAAAGCATGAGAGCACAGTTTGTTTAACTTTTCTATGGGTAATTCTAAACATAATTGAATTCAGCTTTGATATACGGGACATCTCCTCAGGAAAGTGCAGGTCAAATGGGATTTCTTTCAGCTCCTTGCTAAAGCTTGGAAAAAAAGCTTGCTGCGTGTTATGGGATGTTTAAAGGGATCTGACCCTTCAGGGGTGTATGTTGCTAATACATGAGCACATGCCAGCCCTAGGTTACAGCATCAGCAGGGAGCGGGCACTGCAATGCAGGAACATGGGATGAAAAGGAACTTCTGCATCTTTGAGTGCCCGGTTGCCAGGTATTGCATTGTAAGTTCCAGTTTATGTTGGTGAGGTGTTTTCCCCATCTCCAGCTCTTCCAAAATCTCACTGCTGTCTTATGCTTAACAACTTCTCTAATTTCCAGTCCTCACTAGTTTATGGGAGGTTTATCCCAGTGTATTCTTGGACTATATTTCACTGAAGATCAACTGGGAGTTTTCCTGCCTTGTGTCTGTGTCTTTCTCTTCCCTTCCAGAAGGTCGTCATATCCTGTCAACCTTGACTTTTGACAGTTAAACCAGCCCCCTTCTTCTAATTTCCATTCTCATGATCCATTCTCTTCTTCATCCTTGTGTCTTTTCACACAGAATCACACAGAATTATCTAGGCTGGAAGAGATCCTCGGGATCATCGAGTCCAGCCATCCACCCTACTCTAAAGTACTCCCCTACACCATATCCCCCACTGCACTTGTTCCTGTTTTCACTTAACTTTTCAAAACGTGGGCCACTGGCACTATATACTCTTGTTCCAGATGAGATTGTAATGATGTACAATAAAAGTGCTATTTCCTATCTTTAATGGCAGTGTACGACTCGGCGTACTTCTCTTTTGTGTAGTGCATCCTGCTGGCATCCTAAATTACCTGATATATATATACCAGGCTGCCTTTTTCTCAGTTGTCAAATCAAGATCTTCCAGTTCATAGCAAAAATAGCTTTGAATTGTGTGATCTTTCAATTAGTAATACGAAGTTTCATCCGATTTCTATTGCTGTAGTTTGACTGTTATTAGTCCCCAAGTGCATGCTTATGCATTTAGTAATGTTGAATTTCTTCCCATTTCTATTACTCCACTCCTCAAAATCACATGGTGCTCCCTTATGATATCCCAGTGCTCCTCCACAATGTTAATGCCTCCAAACTATAGCACAATCCTAAGGGATGTTTTTGCTTTTGACAGCCTTATGTGGAATTTCAGTGGTCTTTTATGTTACCATCCAAATTGTTGACTCATAACAGTCATGCCTGAGTGCGTTTTTCAGGGCATATAATACTGAACTGAGGTTTATTTGTCCTCCCAGTCTTCCCCACTTTGTGTTATGTATCAGTGTTATGTATTGTCATATATCCATTGACTTCCAGAGTTGAATGGGAATATCCATGGGCTGAATTGATCCCCAATATGTTTGAGTAAATAAGTGGCAACATCACTGCGTTTGTTCTCATTTCCAATGGTAATTCAACCATAATCTGCAAAGCAAATTAAATAACTGCAGCAGTAATCAAATTTGCTAAGACTTCTCTGCCCTGTAATAAAATTACTTTTGTTCAAATAAGTTAGAGAGTAGCAAGCCTTTGCATCATCTCTGGATTCTTGGGAATAGATGGATTTGTGCTAAATTGCAGCTGTTTAAAAATTCAGCTATGGAAAGGATCATTTTCATTTATTTTTCAGTTGCCGGGTGAGCATTCTAATACAAACTCCATATCTTTTCCCTTCAGAGCATGCAATGTGGCACATGTGTTATATAACTAATATACAACACCTAAAACATACTTTCATAAACAAAATTAATATTTAGCAAACGCACTTAATCTGTACTTAATCTAATTTGTTTAGCACCTGGTATTTTCTCTTTCTGGGTTGTATTGCACTGCCTGTGTTAATTTCTTTTAGTCCCACACTGAGTGTAACACAGTCGGTACTGACACAGAAATATAAAGACGAGAACTTCTCTGTGATCATTCTTAGTGCGATAGACTATTGGGTTTGACAACGCTGCTGCTGTGAGTATTCTATGCCAAACCTCTTCAGTAATTCAAATACTTCCAACAGGTGAAAACAAATGACATCTGCCATCAGTATGGTGGCATATCTTAATGACTTGGGTTGGCTTTGGTGTTTTTTTTCCAGAGATCTAAAGTAGAAAGCAAATTCTGTTGTGACTCAGGTCTGTGGTCAGCATGAAAATGCTTTTGCACATTTAGCCTGACTTTTATTTTTCTTATCCTTAATGGAGAAGCAGGGCTCGCTTATTAGCAGACTGTCTTTAGCCCCTTTTTCACTGAGAAACTGGAGAGAAAATGCAGGGAGCATCGTGCCTGGTCCTCTGCACAGGACTGAGCTCGGAGGATGCAGGACCCATGGGCAGCACCTGCCTCTCCCGTGTCTCCACACAAAGACAGGAGCGCTGCCGCCTGTGCTCTCCCTGCCTTCCTCTGGACACTGAGCTCTCTGGCTCTTCCTTAACACACTGTGTTTGCCTCAGGGTGAGTGAACCAAAGAGAAATGACAGAGCTGCCTTAAGGAGTGGGTCCATTCAGGCTGGGTTTGTTCACCATCCGTTCATTTTCCTCCATTGTGCCTGCAAGAGAAGGGTGAAACTAAGCTCAAGTGCAAAACCCACCGTATGGTACACACATGCTTATGCACCCATAAGTTATACGTTGGACTCAAGTGGACTCTCTGCATCAGGGTAAACTTTGAGTGGAAGTCAAAGAAAAAGGAGTCAGATCAACATCTCTTCTAGATCAACATTCCAACCAGTTACATTGTTCATTTCTTACGTGGAGTGTATGTTAGATTAAATAATGACAGTGTGGTGTTGGCTATTTTGAATGAGGTAGAAAAACCCCTTGTTTGGAGCTGACTGAGCACCAATTCCAGCCTTTGTCCCTCTGTTTCCAGTGAAGCAGCTTGTGATCCTTAGCCTAGACAATGCTTCAGGTTCATAACCACTCACAAAACTGAGAGATGCTGACCTTCTGATAGTTCAGTTTTTAACTTAAGCAAGCATTTGCTTTTCTTCTATTTTTTTTTTCCCCTCTGAGCATCTCATTCCTGGAAGGAAATGAATCTTATGTGGTCCATATCGTATTTTCCTAATAGTTTTTTTTTTTTTTTCATGCCGTAACAATTGATGGAAAATATTTGGTGGAGAGAGAATATACAGTTTGTCAGGAAGTTGCTAGTTTTCTGTAAATCAAAGCCAGGACCTGCAGAAAAACACATAGTGAAGAAAAGGCTTAGATAGATACTTATTTTGAAAACTTCAAATAAAAAGTCCCAGAATAATGTCAAATTCAAGCAATGTTGAAATCTATTTTTTCTCCTTAGTTTTTTTTTATCTTAAAAAAGAAACATTTTAGTCCTCCAAGTCAGAGTTACGGTAACGTCTTAACCACAGCATGCCAAAGCTGTTAGGTTATTTTAAAGTTTTGGCCAGAATCTGGACGTTTGTACAAAGTACTCCCTCCTCCAATACAAAACAAAATAGTTGCTTGAATATTCTTTGCAATGCTGTCATTTTTAAGTTGTTTTTTTTAAAAAAAAAAAAAAATTAGTTTTTGTTAGGATTTTTCACAAGATTTTTCCTTGATGTGCTGTAAACATCCACAGCCTTTTTCCATCGCTGTGTATGGGAGATAAAGTCACACGGTGCAGTTTCACGCACAGACATGCAACTATCAGTCACAGTTCTGATGGACATAGGCATCAAAAGGGGATTCCTAGCGACCACTGAAATTATGTCCTTCTAAACACTCATAAATAATTTATTTTTGAGTGCAGTGAAGTAAAACCACAAATCCGCTAACACTGCTCTGTGTCTCACAGAAAATAGGGGGCAGAAGGATAGAGCAAGAAGGCATAAAATGAAGCTGTTCTGTTGTTAGAGCCAACTGGAAGCTTATTGGGAAAACTAAAAAGTTCCTTATGTCCACACAAACACATGCCATTGCCCATGTGGGAAACTGTTTTCTGGCATCAAGGACACTTGGAAATTAAATATAACTTCTAACGGCACAGCATTCTATGCGTGATGCTCAGTTGCAGGCTTAGCTTTGCAAATTGTTGATATTAACTTGAACAAGCATAGCACTTTATTTATTATTCAAGAGGAGCATCTATTTGGTGTTGAGAAATAAAGCCCTTCACAGGGTTGCACATAAAGAATGTGAATAACTAATGTATGTTTATTTTGTTGGTGTCCGCTAAAGATCAGTTTCATGGCTGCGTTCCTCAAGGCTTGTGCAACTTTTTTTGGAGATACTGATGGTACTTAGTGATATTAAAGAGCAATATTACATTATGTTAAGAGCCAGATAAACCAGTGTTAAGTGCAGTGCATGTATCCTTATTTACCTGTCCATGTTGTAGTACGTTCAATCGGAAGGATGCTAAAGCAAAAGTGTATCTCATCTAGGAATGCATCCTCATATATAAGCATGCCCAAAACTGAATCGTTGTAACTATCAGCAAAAGAATAAAGAAAATATTTTCCCTCTATGGAATGCTATCAGTAATAGCACCTACACTGTAGATGAACAGACAATCATTTTGGCATATTTTTACTCTAGATGCTTTTGGGGAAGGATTAGCAATTCACTGGGTCATGTATTGATCAATTCCAGGCAGTTTGTTTTTTATTCACAGGATGTCTTGTGGGATGACCCAACTAATACATTTTTCAGTGTCTTATACAGACCAAATGTAATGCATCCTGCCAGGAAAAAAAAAAAAAAGGTGAAAATTTAGAACAACACCCTCCCTTGCCAACAGAGTGACAGCAGAAATGGTGTTTCTTAGCTAGGTTTAATTTTGGAGATTGTTTATGTTGCTTTGAGTTTATTTGGGCAGTAGCAAGCATGGACCAAGTTCCTAAAAAGGAAAGCGTTGTTGAAAGCTGCAGAAAAAAGATTATGCGCAGTGGAAGCCATCCAGCTGAGTATCTCTGCTGTCCTTAGCAATACACTGTGCTGCTAAGGAAACGATTAACAAAACTTTTGAAGTCAAGGGAAAATACTTTAAATTTGTCCCTCTCAAATGGAAAACTCCATTTTTAAAGGGACCTTTTTGTTAAGGTTATCCAACTAGAATGGCTAGAATTATTTCCTTAAAACAGCACTTAGGCCCTTGTGTTTAAGTGGCCTAATTGTCAGAAGTATCAGGCATCCACCAAGAAAGCCTGATCCAAGAAGGTGGTAAGACCTAGAACCACTCACCATCTTTGAAATTGGACCACCTGTACCGAGCTGCCTGAATGCAGGCGTGACTGCTTCAGGCACCAGGTTTAAAAGGTTTACTCTTTCTGGCAGTTGAATTTGTAGGTTGATGAGTTTGGGACTGAGGAGCGAGAGACTCCTCATCCATCTCCCGCAGGGATGCAGTCCTTGCTGCCATCTTCCAGCCAAAGTGTTAGGTCAACTCTGCAGTTGCTGCGGTGCTTTCTTTCCTCCTGTGGTTGTTTTAGGACCTGCTGCCTTTCTTTCCCTGCAGTCAGCATCCTCGTGCTCCTTCCTAAACTGCTGCATCATTTAATTGTTCCTCCTCTTGGTTGACACCTCCAGTCCCCGCTTTGTCAGGTGAAACTGCTGGATTCCACTTCTCATCCCCTGCAAACTGCACACAATTTTCAGTTAACCGTTTTCAACCCATTTAAAATTCAAATTGTTCATGTGGAGGAATCTAGGTTTAGTTTTGGGAGCTCAACCTTCCCTGCACCCATGTATGTGAGCGGATAGCAGCCACGTGTCAGCCAAAATTCTTTCTTAAGTGGACACAATTTTGGGTAGATATGTCTGCTGGCTGTTTTGGGATAATTTTCCCTCTCTTCTCAAGAGGCAGCCAAATTCAGTTCCTTTGCCTCTTGGAGCTGTCGTTAGCTAATTACCAAGTCTTATATTGAAGAAATAACTGTGTGTAAACACAGCAAGGAAGGAAAACAAAATCCTTCTGTAATATGAATCTCTGAAGTGTAGTTTCATGTCAGTGGTTTATGCTCTCTGTGGTACGCTGGTGCCTCAGAGCATGGGACTTATTTGTGTTTGGGATCTTGTTTGTGGTTTGCCTGGTGTGTAGCAGAAAAGAGACTGGAAAAGTGATGCGTGAAATAGCAAAACAAGGATTTGTAATTTAAGTGCTTGAAGGATAAACTGATAAACTGCAGGCAGGGCACAACAGTCTCGCAGGGAGGATAAATGCAGGTTCCTTTCATTTCAAGGATGTAAATCATGGGAAGGATGTCAAATGAAAGTTTGGGTCCCTAGTAACCCACAAAGGGACCTTTATCAGAAGCACAACATAAAGATTAATTGAAAAATAACTTGTGTTAATTCCACCCGATGTTATTTTTAACTTATATGTTTAATTATTGATTTCTTAAAATCAATCATTATGGTTGCATACTGCCACCTTAATCTTCTCATACAGCTTCTAAGAAGAAGTTTCAAAGGAGTATCCTGGCTTTTGGTGAGGGATATCACCTAGATTTAGAAGCTAAGGACTTATTTGGAGACAAATTTGTATCTCCAGATAGAAAGAGCGTGGTATGGAAGCAAAGGGTTTCTGCCCAGCTCTTGTGTGGGACAGAGATATTCTTGCTGCACCTCAGTTTCCCACTCGTTGGAAGGGACAATAATGCTCCTCCTTTGTTAAAGCTCTTGAGATCCTCTGGTAAAGTCCTAGTTATCTGTAGGGGGCTGCAAATCAAGTTGGGCCCCTGAAATTGTGAATTCCATTGTAATTAAATGTTGAGACGATGATAACACTTAAATAGATTATAGAAAAATATGGGATCTTCTTTCATATTTTGTATAGGTTTTTTTATTACATAGCTGAATGAGAACAGAAAAGTACCTGTGAAGTGATGTTTAGAAACTGATCATCAGATAAGGCGGAATTATTTTGATACAAAATACTTCCTTCAGAGACTATTTCAGTTCATTCAACAGCATTTATGGTCATTTTTCAGAAGCATCATTTGAGAAAGCGGTGTGTTGTCATCCTCGCCACGGTTCAAAGATTGACTTACATTGGGAATTATAAATTTTGAGAATAAAGTGGCTATTGTTTCAGAATTCGTAGCTGCTTTGCAATTAAATTCATTAATGCTTTAAAGTGCCTCTTAAATGATTCATTGCCTGTTTTGACTGAATTCCTTGAAAAGCCTTGTGAAAGAGTTTACGAATCACTTAAAATAAGTCAGCAGTGTCACTCTTGGAAGACGTTCTTATCACGTGCTTCATAGGAAATTGGTATCTGAATACTGGAGTTGGGAAATAGCCTTAACCAAAGGCATAGCCAACTAGCAAGTAAACAGAGCTAATCTGAACCTTCCTATTTGTGAAACACTGAGATGGAAAACAGTACACATGTATGTTTTGAAATTATTCCTGTGTTTATAATAGTTACTCCCGTTACACAACTGAAACAAGCGCCGTTAGCAAAGCATCCGCATTTTTTCAGTCTTTCAACGTAACGACCCAGATTTAGTCCATTATTAAAAAAAAAAAAGTAGAACCAGCTGTTAAATGTGAGCAGGAAGTTACTGAGTAATCTAGGCTGTACCTTGTTTTTAAGGCTCATTATAATATATTATTCCCAAGAAAACTGAACATGGCGTGCGTTCACTGACCCTACTAAGTGACTATATCGTTCCAGTAGCATGCTGCAGAGCAGTACTCATGGAAATGTTACTTTCCATCTCGGTGTATAATGGAATTTTTGTATTTTCTTTGTCTTTGGCAGCCAAAATTGCTGCCACGGGTACTGTATATGCACGGGAGGTATGCAGGATCAAACACCACTAACAAAGACCACCCAATCTGAATGCAGAGATAATGCCTGACTCTTAGAGAAGACAATAAGGTTATTTTGTGTGATTTAGAGCATCTAGAGTAGTATAGAACCAGGCTAGCAGTATTTCTGCTCATCCAAATTTCCTAATTATAACAGTATTTGTTATCTTTTACTCTAGGAATGACTATACCAGAAGAGGACGCTGATGTGGGACAGGGTAGTAAATATTGCCTCGTGGCAATAGGAAGGCTTCAGGTAATGCCAGTCTTTCCTACTATAAACTACTTCTGAGAGCATAATCAGTCTTGTGCTTTAGCTGTAAAGGATTTGCACAAAGTTCTGGTACTAGACTGTAACTTTTAACATGCCTCCAAATTACAAAGCGCCTTGATGTCTGTGTGCAGGCCGTGATTTATAGGATCATAGAATGGTGTGGACTGGAAAGGACCTTAAAGGTCATCTAGTTCCAGCCACCCTGCCGTGAGCAGGACTTGTTCAAAATGTGTCAACAGAGCAAAATGAAAATATGATTTTTGGTGCGTACATGTATTTAACCCAACAACAGTGGCAAAGATGCTCCTGGAGCATGAGCACATACAGACCTGCTATTCCCTAGGGTGCATAGGGCTGGGGGATTCTGGACTGTGAGAAATATGGGAGCACAGGTGCTGCAGGTGGTAGGTTAAAGTGGCTCCCAAAGCCAGTGACGTGCTCCCTGCTATTCTTTCATTTGTTCTTTCTCTCTACTTGATCAACTACTTGAAAAACTGTGATTGCAGGAGTTATTCAGAAAAAGGTAAAGATAAGGCAGTCAGGAGGCACTTCACAAATAACAGCTTTATTCTCCGAGTGTATTGTAGTGTGCATTCAGATGCGATGTCAGCCATGGGAACTGCCAGAATAAAATTTTGCTTCCCTTTCTGTCCAGACGGTTGCAATTGATGTATTACATTTTCTTCCTTTGTCCATTGCTGATGAGAGCACTGAGCAGGACATAGACCAGTCGCGGTGAATCTCCTTCATCACAGCAGGGAGGCTGATTTTTATCTTCCTGGCCTGGGAATTCTGCCATGGGTGAATGCGTTTGAGCCTCCTGCATGATCCCCCGTTGGCTCACACTCATTGCCATCTGCTAGGATGGCATCTCTCCTTCGTACAAGGTAGAATCACTCTTTCATTAGAGCACAGGTGCCAAACCCATCTTATTTGAGGTGAACAGCCTGCACGTTACTCCAAGTGTTAGCACTTCTGCCGAATGCGTCTCCATTGTGATGGCAGAGCTACAGAAGTATTGCGTGATGCTTTTTAGATTAATCATCCTTTTATAATCAAGGGTAATATATTCTGCTGGTGGAGAGAAGGAAGTTACGGGGATTCATGTGTTACAGCTGCCAAAGAAAGATGATTTCCAAGAAAATCCCATTAGTAACATGTGGAGTGTCAAAACATCTGTTGTGTTAGAAGAAACAACAGAGTATGTGAGGGAGGGCAAGAGGAGGCTCTGGGGATGGGTTTAATCACAAAGTCAAGGTGCCCAAATGCTAAACGATGCTCTGTAACAGCAAATCAAAATCTTGCATACAGTTAACTGGCTAATCCGCTTCAAGACAGCAACAAATGAGATTTTGCTCCTTTTTCATTGAGAACCTGTTAACCTTCTAAACAGAGATGGCTCTGAAAGTTGTAAGAAAAACAATGGTCTCATTTGTAGCCCCAGTAGGAAGGAACGGATGCAAAGTGGCCTGATTGCACAGCTTTCAGGCAAAGGGCCGGAAATGCATCATTCTCTCTGATGAGCTTTGAGGAGCATTACTGGACCAGTATCATCAGCTGCCTCAACCTCTAGAGCACTTTGTTCATGTTCTTTGGCTGTACTCAGATGATCCTTGCCTGAAAGCTGAAGGTTACTCTCAGCTAGTCCTATTGGATATGTCTACAGATAGTGAGTTATCCTCAGAGAGAGATTGATCTTCCCGTCCTAAAATGGGTGGGTTGAATTGTCCTCTGAAAGTCTTTCATTCTTGGTTGACAAGGGTAGGAACCAAGATGCCAAACTTTTATATGGTCCCACAGAGTGAGATGAATCCAGCCGTAGTTATATCATTACTATAACCCTCCTTGTTGGGAACTTCTGGTGTATTTGTTTTCCTGCTGTGCTGTTAAGCCTAAATATGTGCCATGGGGTGAGATATTTGCACTGCAAACTAGACCAAAGGCCGTTCTGTGTCATTTATTCATGCTGTTGTTTTATTTATGACTTCCTTCAGTAGTTAGCAGTCTGCCAACAGATTTTATTCTTTAGCTGTGTAACCAACTTTGACTTAAGGTGACTGTTCCGTGGACTAAATGCTGTGAACTTCATTGGTCCTAGGTAACCAGCTCTCCCGTGTGCATGGACATGAACGGCATGTCAGTCCCAACTGAGTTCTTGTCTAGGCACAATTCTGATGGAGTCATCACCTTTGTCGACCCAAGGTGCATCAGCGTCATCGGTTACCAGCCCCAGGTCAGTGAGTCATGTAAACGCAGAGATTGATTAGAGCTAATGAAGAAAACTCTGTTTCCACATTAAAAGCAGCAAAACATGAAATATTTGTAGCTGGCCATTCATATGTCATGCTCTAAATGCAGTTCGTTTTTTCTATACTGTCCACGCCTCTCTAAAATGTATAGTTTTCCCTTTTGTTATGTGGGATATCTTTTTATACCTTTTAGATCCAATTAGAATTCCAACAGCCAGAATATAAACCTTGTGCTTTAAGCCTTGCACGATGTTCCATTGAAGACATTTCTATGATAGAAAGTTAATGGTGCTTGGAGAGAGCCTTAGTCCTGTAGATCTGTACTTCTGCCAATCTATTGAACAGTAAGCAAACATCATTTATAGCATCTATTTTCCTTTAGGCTCACATCTGCTCCTCTGAACAGGAGGCTGGTCACAGAACTGAGCAGAATAATAGATGAACTGACTGCCACAAGTCTCCCTCAGATAACTCTCAGCAGTTGCAATTTACAGGCAAAAATTATTTCTTGCTCATCACATTTTCCCATTTATTTTGATTTTGGGTGTCTTTACAGTAACCATTATTGCAAAAATTGTTGCCATTAAATGAGCTGTAGTACAGGTCGTCAGTCTCTTCAAGACAGCATTTCATGCGTATTAAAAAAAAATCACCTTAAAATTTGTTGTAAATACATATATCTTTGCAACAGTATCAATATAATGTGGGATGTGGTGCCTACAAACCTTTTTTTGTATGATTCATCCCCGATTAACTGAGTAGTCCCATTAAGGGCAGTAGATCTAGCATTTGCAAGGATTACTTGCAGATCTGTGTGTGAATTTGCGTTGTGGTCCAGGTCTTTCACACGACTTTATGTTTTCTTCTAGGATCTTCTGGGGAAAGATATTTTAGAATTCTGCCATCCTGAAGATCAAAGCCATTTGAGGGAGAGTTTCCAACAGGTGCTGCATCCTGCTCTTTCTTCCATTTGTTTATTTTTTTGTTATTATTTTGTTCAGAGAAGTAGCTTTTATTTTTCATTTCAAGGTACTTTTTCTATTATGCAGGAGTGGCAAGATACAAAACAATTTGTTGATCAGTTACTAATCAGTTGAGCTGCACAAATGGTTGTTTAAACTGCAGCATCTGCTGTGTTTTCAGAAATAAGTCACCTAGTTATACATTTTCTTTTCTTTATACAAAAAAATAAATGAGCGTTCACTGCAGGGTTTGAGCTGGTTTGGAGATGCCTTTATAGATCCCACTGTGTTAAATGGTAACCAAAATATTTACCTTCCAAGATGGGCTGTAGATTTGAAAGTAGTTACACCCTGCTGTAATGCTGGATTGTTTATGACCTAAATTCCCTGCTAGCACAGATGACATGCTTCATACTTCAATGAAGTTACACCAATTTACATCAATAGAGAATTTGGCCCTTCTCCCTGTTAGGAATTGAAATGCAGACAGAAGTAACAAAAGAAATACAACATATGGAAAGAGTTACTGATCTGGATTCATTTTTGCAATGGGCCATGTTTACATCAGCTATATCAAAGACATTTATTCCATTGTAGAGCTTATTGTTTCAGATTGATGTGGGACATACAGTAGGAGTGCTTTCCCCAATCCTTCTGCTTCTTGCTGGTCTTTTCAGCGCCTTCCCTGCTGCCCAAGACAGTGCAGTGTAGTGTGTTTAACCCATTACTGAGGTTCAGATCCTCTAAGTGGTTCCAGGTTTTCTGACAGATTTTTTGACAACAGCCTAGAGCCCAACCAAGCTTTGTTGATCCATCTTAACTTGGATGCTGAGATGTATTTTCAGCTGTGAAACATGGATATGAAGTGACTTCTAAAATAATTTGTCTAGCCAATTATTTGTTGAGGCATGGCATGCAGAAATGGAGCTTGAAAAGCCTCTCTCTGGTGAAAACAACTAAATGCTGTTCTGTGTCCATAGAATGGGTTGTGAAACTCAGGTTGTGGTCTCTAGAAGTATTTGAGATAGTGGAAGATATCAGTACTCGTGAACTATTTCTTACCACCTCCTCCCTCAAGTGAAAACTACCAACCCTGCTGCTGAGCTAGCAGAGAAGGCTGTGAGCACTCCACATCCGCCTCACATCCCTTGAAGGGACTGAATTCAAACAGCAGCTGAAGACCTTTTAAACTCAAGATGTTGATTCACAGGCAGCAGCCTGTGAGAGTGAGGTGCTGGAAATAAGTCACCCCACCCAGTCATCTTCTGTGGCCCACTGTGGTTGGGGGTGTGATGCTGCAGCTGAGCCTCCCTGATGGGTAGCTGTCACCAGGAGTCGGGTCCTACTCCCTCTCTTCTCTCCTCCCTGGCCCCCTCTCCACCCTCCCTGCTGTCCCGATGCTAGCACAGATGGACTTGCCAGATAGGCTAGCTAAGGGACTAATTGCTTCTGCATGGGACTAGCTTTCCGCTGGTTCAGCTCCCCAAACTCCGGCCTGACGGCATCAGTGGTGCAAGAAAAGCAACGAGAACACATATGCTGTTTTTCACTAATGCCCAAGTGATTGATTCTGCTAATTTATCCAAGAGACAATGACAGAGAGCTGCTGGATAATGACACATCAGACATCCTTCTCTGAAGTGATGGCCTGGGGCTGAGAAGGGCTGACTAACAAACGTTCAAGTTAATGACTTGGTCCTCACTCTGCTCACTGAGTGAGGCCGCGGGATGCTGCCAGGGTGTCCCTGAACTCAGTTCTGGGGACTTCACTGTCACTACTCACTATTAGGCATGTGCATAAATGATTGGCTGGATCGGGGACCTATATGATTTGCTTAAGGTCATATAAAAAGGCAGCAGGAAAAAAAATGCAGATTAGAAGTTAAAGGTCCTGTTCGCTCGACCTGTGCCCAATCTATGAAAATATTGTGCTGTTTCTTTAGTAGGCAATTCCTTTTTGGGTATATTTTCATTCAGTACAGTAGCAGTGTGATTGGGGCTGTTATTTCAATCATGCAATAAAAGACTGAAGTAAACAGTTAAGCTATGCACCAGGTGGTTTTTATTTCCAAAGAATGTAAGCTTTGAAATTTTTTGTACTATCTTGTTTGTGTGCACTGCTTTCCCACCAGTGATCTCCATGCTTTATATATTATTACAGAATTAGTGTTTGCTTAATTCAGACTGCAGGACGATAGATCACTGCAGTTTGTTTTATTATTGTTAATTTGGCCATAGAAATCTCTTCATTAAAAAGGTAACTGTGATTTCCAATAAGCTCTTTTTTTTTTTTTTTTCTAAAGCCCTCTGAAAACTTGGCATTTCTAATTTGCTGACAGTATCAGAACCAGGTTGGTGCATAACAGAGGAGGGAGAGAGAGAGGGTTTTGCAGTTTTTGGTCAGTTGCCAGTATCCATCTCAAAGCTTTTACTTCCTTGGGAAGATAAATTCATTCATCAGGGTGGGAAAATCAGTCCAGAATAAGATAGTCTCAAGGCCAAGATCAACAAATAGACTTTAGTATCAAAGAATCCAGAATACAGCTATTTGATATCCAGTAGGATGCTATTCAGATTGGACACTTTTACACAAGCTCTGTTTTTTTTACCCTGGGTGTGGTAGTAGAAAATTGCTGATAAAAGAATGTCACTCACTGAACTCAAACTACAAAAGCATTTAAAAAAGAAAAGGCATTTACTTCAGTATTATTTTGAACTTTCCTGGGCATTGCTAAATCTTCTTATGTCTTCTGTTTGCATTCTTTCCATTTAATTCTGTATCCAGTTGATCAATTTGAATTACAGACATTTGAAAAAAACAGCATTGGACCATTTTTTCCTAATCCAGTTGCTTGTCAGTAAAGCCAGAGGGTAAATACTGGGTTTTCTACTTTTAGAGAATACAGGCTGCAGATAGCTAATTAAAATTAAATTCCAGTGGATTAAGGATTAAGAATCCACAACAAGATGTGGCATTTATTTGCTGTAGACCTTCCCTTTTCTTCTCTGAGGCACCCCTGAGATAGCTTGGTGGAAAAACAATAAAAAAATAAACACAGATTGCCCAGGTAAGTGCCAGCTGAATGGCTTGAAACCATGTAAGTTGTCTTGTAACTTAAACCAAGATTGTTAGATAACACATAAAATGCAGTGCCAGTGCTGCATGTGCTGTTTTGAGCATACTTCTTTAGCTGGCTGCTTTGGACTTCTCACTCAATGCCCAGCTGTTGCCTTCAACAAAACTTCAGCTGCCAAAACCAGAATTTGAACTAAGTGTTGCCAGACATCTGAATTCTTAGCATAAACAAATAGGCCATCCAAGAAAATAATTTTCTTTCTATTTTCATTAATACTATTTAAACAGACAGTGGCTTACTGCTGTTCTCTACACTCAAAGACTGGCTCACTCTTTCTTGTTTTGAAAGCCAGAAGCACTTTGCCATTGTAGATGGTCTTATAATGTGTTTGGAGGGAAAAACAAAACCACCATATATGTTTTCTAAAAAAAAGTATTCTTTCTTATACTTTCTTAAGTATTATCCTAAATTTTGATGCTGGTGGTGTGATGTGGTATGTCACATATATGAATTGTGTAGCTAGGTATCCAAGCAGAAAAGCAGGCAGTCAACCTCAAAATATCTTTTCTTGTGGGCTTTTATTTCAGCTGCAATGTTTGGTTTATGGTTTATGAATAAACATATACAAGATCCTCAGTTTGGTTTCTGCAAATTTCTCGATAAGTGTTCCATATTAAAACCTTGTTAAAGCTTCCCTGTTGGGATAACAGCACAACCTGTTTGTTGTCCTGAATCTATATTCTTCTCATGTGCAAGCTGGAAAATGGCATTTTATGCAACAAAGTGTGAGGTTTTCATTCTTAAGGAAATGGCTACAAACACAAATCAGATTGTGCCTATTCTCTTTAAATTAGGAATCTCTGTGCTGTGTCTGTAGCTTTCTCTAATTCAGGTTTAAAACACTCCAGTTACTGCTGTTTACTATTCATTTGCATGACAAGTAGCGATCTCCTTTTGTTAACCTTTCCAAATGGTTTTGCAGGTTGTGAAACTGAAGGGTCAAGTCCTGTCTGTGATGTATCGTTTTCGTACCAAAAACCGGGAATGGATGCTGATCAGAACCAGCAGCTTCACGTTTCAGAATCCTTATTCTGATGAGATTGAATACATCATCTGCACCAACACTAATGTAAAGTATGTGCTGTTCCAGATGCTCACGTATGTGGTTTTGAAAGAATTTAAGCATTGCTTTTTTGCTGTAGAGCACATCCTGATTTTTCAGTAGCCTGTTTCTAGATACATTTGTTTCTCTATAACGGTACAGTATGCAACAGGGTTTTTCTGCATCATGACATCTCACAGTGTAGCTGTTTCTCTGTGTCATTATCCTGTGATGCTTCCAGGGCCTGGCAGCACTGGGGGAGAAACGTCACTTATCTGTTATGTCATTAGACAAGCCCATTGATCTCAGTCCAGGCTGCCTTAAACTAGCACAGAGCTTCCAACAACAGACCAGCTGTCCTGATATTGGGGGAAGATTAGCCTGATTCCTAAGCCAAAGAGAAAATTCCATGTCCACGTTAGCAAGTATCACACAAGTATGCAAGATTCCTGCCTCTTCTTCATTGTGATCATACCATTCTGTAGTCCTGGACATCTTCTCATGCTGTGTCTGCTTTTACAGAATGTGAAAGCTGGCAAAATGATTTCCTAGGAAGCTTGAGCAAGAAGGGTTCCTGGTACTCGGTTAAGATCTGGGGGAATATCCCCAAGTATGGGGACAGATCCAACCCCTTATTGTAAGAGGGGAATTAAATCATCCTGTCTTTGAATCAATATTTTCATAAATCTCTCATTGGACCTCTTAGGAGGAAGTCACCCTAGGAGTACAGTGGAGGTTCATCACTGTGTACCTGAGCAGAGAAGTTTTTGGAGCCTCCTGAGTTCTGAGCCAGTAACTGCAGAAGTTAGGCTGGCCTTGATAAAGCTATTGCTTTATAGCATGGGGTGGGGGGCTTATTTCTTCTTTCCAATATAAACTTAATTTACTTCTCAGATGAAATCTGCTTCTGGTCTAACCAAACATTTTTTGCCAAGCTTTTAGCTCAGAGGAAATTATTGGTGTTAAGATCTCAACCTGTTAGACTGTACAATGGAAATGCTGAATGAGCAGTCTCCTGGTGGAGATGCATGCTGAGAGCTCCACTTGCAAAACCAGACCCCTGGTGCTTTGGCATTTGAACTCAGAAAGCTAGTCAGTGTCTCTGGGTGTTCCTTGACATGCTCCTTTGGACGTGACACAGAACTGGGCTAGAAGAGCCCAGCTAGAAGAAGAGAAAGCTAGAAGAGCTTTCTCTTACTTGAAACCCAGCATCATTGTTTTGCTCAGTTTTTTCTGCATATCCAAAAAGTTGGGCTTAAACAACTGAATAGTTAAGCTCATTGAAAACAAGCAAATGTGCATTGAAAGCAGACAGCTAAATATCTCCCTGTCTTCACTGTGCATCAAAATAGATATTTCCACATTTCTGCTGTCCCATATTTCTTTTCCAAATAATTTGTATACATAAACCCAGGCCTGCCAAACAAAAAGGGACTTCTGAAATCTGTCCCAGGCTGGCTCTTAATCGTGCTTTGTTCCTAAGAGTCCACAGATCAAAAAGTGGGGCTGTAGACTTATGTTGTGTTGACTCTGGGAATGTGGTTTTTTTCTGAGCTTCCACTATACTGTCCAGCTTGGCATCGCAGCCCTTACTGTCATGAATAGGACTGTGCCAGCTTCTGCCTCTTGTTATATCTCTCTTGCTAGGTTTGAATAACAACCCAGAAATGTTGACCTAATATGGAAGTTGCCTGCTGCTACTTTGACAGAGGATGTTCCCTCTTTCTGTCATGTTGAAAACGTTTTAGTCTTATGGCAAGATACAGCCCATTATACATCTGCTTTTGAATAGTAGAAAGAATGTATTATTCAAACTGTTTTCTGTTTTCCCCTCTGTTCTCTCCCACTTCTCAGACAGATTTCCAAAGAGGGCTTACTGTAATGTATCCTGCCTGTTTCTGGATTTATTTTTTTGCACATTTGGGGTCATGTTTTGACTTCTGATTTCCTAGATGCCTAGGGGAGTTGTACGTCACGGTAACTGTTGATTTCCGCCTCCTGGGTCAGCTCCTGCTGGGGCTGGTTGTTCAGCACCGACCCCGGTGTGCATGACCATCCTTAGGTGTTGGTGGAAGGATCAGGTGCTCTGGGTCCAGCACTGCTCTTCAGATGGAGACCAAGCAGGGCTGCCTTCCACCGCGCGGTGGTAGGTGGTTCTGCACAGAGACAAATTTCAATTTGTCTATCACTGTGATAACCCAGCCAGCTTCATAAAATACAGGTTTGAGGTGGCTAAAAATTCAGCATAAAATTGTAAAGCCAAAAGATATAGGTTTTAATCTGTTTTTGACTTAGGATACTTTAAAGCCACAGTACGTCTTTGTGTGTCTGTTAATGGAATAGCTCTCGAGTTGGTCCATGAAAAACGTTTTCCCAAAAGACTGTAGAGGGCGGTGGTGGTTCCAGTTGTGGAGGGATTAATAGATGGTTTTTTTCCTTGTTGGTTTGTTTTGTTTTGTTTCTTTTTCTTTTTTTTTTTTTTTTAATAAAGATACGCCTTTGGAGCTTCAAACAGTGTTTTTTTTCTTTTTTGTTTTTTTTTGTTTTTTTTTTTTTTTTTTTTTTTTTTTTTTTTAATAAAGATACGCCTTTGGAGCTTCAAACAGTCAACTTTCCAAACTTTTGGTGCGGAAGGATAACGAAACATTAGGTTCAAATGTTCACTTAGTTCCTTGCAAAAAAAGAAAAGAAAACTTCTCGCAGTTTCACTTGGGTGTAGTCATCCAAGAGAAACTTCCTGGAGAAATGAAGCATTTAACGTTTAGCATTTGTGCTGTGTTCGGCTGAAAAGAAGAGCCTCCTGTTTCACCACATTTTCCTGTGTAGTTGGGACTGTTTGATTTCCAAAAAGAAATAATAGTTGTGATCAACGTTTATTTAACATTCACATAGAGTGGCGTTTGAATAAAATAATCTTTCATGGTGATAGATCAAACTATATAAATGTCTTTATATATATACAGAAGAAAGATATTTTCCTGACATTTATGGAAATTCTGATGTTTCATTTTTGTAAGCCCCAGAGTCCCATGTCGCACTGTGTGCATTTATGAATTCTACAGTTGTCCTGAGTCTCAAGACTTTTTGGCTCGGAGTGAGCTGGGTGAATCAGCCTGCACTTGTGGCAGAGATACTTTCTGTTTCAGATTTTCGTGGGCCAAAATACTAAAGAGATCAGTTTTTCTGATAAAATTCCAGCCAATGATATTGGTGCTCAAGACTTACTTTCTCATGATCTCCATGCCATCTATGGGCTAGCTGATCCCTCAAGGCCAGTTATAGACAGACCTTCTCACAGGGATGAATCGAAGCTGTAGGCTAAAAGAGGGAGATTCTGAGAGTTTCTGAAAGAGGATTTTATAGCAGCAGCCCCAAGTCTTTTATTACTCCCTTTTTGTCCAAACCAGGCACAGGAAGCGCGTGTGCCTGTATTACATAAAAATAGCTAGGTAGGGATACAGTAGTATTCCTTCTCTCCCACCATAGACACTTAATCTTAAAGTTCAGATCTTTTTTTTTTGGTTCCTGTGATGCCTGGAAAAGGAGCAGGTGACTTCAGTGTTCATAGAGAGAGATTAGTTCAGCTGAAATCCTCTCCAGGGTCAAAGGAGCTTTCACAGAATCTTCCCTTTTCCTCCAGATATATCTACTGAAGTAAACTTGAATAAACTGTCGAAACCTTTAGATTCACTGAACCATTCCTTGTGCAAGCCAGGGGCTTTCCCAGTTTCACACCAAACCTGTGGGTGAGCCGGGAGTTCCTGCAGTTGACCCAGGCAATACCTTACTCACTGTCTTGGGTGGCCTGTAGGGCCAGGAAAATTCTCTTTCATTAATTCCTTGAAGCTGTGAAACTGCAATTGAAAATGGGGATATTTTGGGTTTGGGTTTCAAAGTCAGAAGGCAGTTTTGCCCAAAGTGATAATAATCCCTTGTTCTGTATCATCACTACAAAAATGATCTAGCAATTGGATGACTGATGGGACCTGCATGTGTTGACTCTTCGGTCAAGAGGCTGGTTAGATGGCAGGGACTGCAGCAACCACCACGGCCATGCTCAGCTCTCCCTGCTTGGCTGGTCCGTGAAGTGCTGCACAGATTCTTCCAGGTTTCAAGCACCACTAGAACTATTTATACGGTAGCAGTGAACAACAGCAGAAGATGCTAACCTGGCTTTGCTTTTCAGTCTTAATTAAGCGCAGCATGGCTTGCACAGAGTTCGGTGAAGACACGCATTTGGTTTTTATAGGAAATGGATTTGGGAGGTTGTTCCCAAAGTTCAGTGCTGTTAACACAATGTGGTGTTTATATTGTGCTGCAGCTTAATGAGTATTAGAGATGAAAGATAAAGAAGGGTGAAGGAGCACTAAGTTAGAGAAGTGCCTACAAAACAAATAACTAGTAAGAACGCTGTTTTATTTGGCTCATTTGTGTGTATATGGCTAAATCAAGAAAACATACTTTATACGGAACAGAAGAGACCTAATGTGCTGTTTATTGACACACGCACCGAGTCGTTGGTAATAAAAACAAATGAAACAGTGTAATTAGCTTTCACGTTAACAACAGGATTTAATGGGTGTTTATTGTCCACAGGGTGGTATTTAGAAAAACTTCCCCATAGATTTGCTGTGATTAAATTACCTCCCATAGTTCTGTTGGGAAAGTATGCATTTTGTGCTTGTGAACAAAGAATTTCTTGCATTCCGGAGGTAATCTTTAGGAATTTTCTGTTGGCTAAAATAATGTGGAAAATCCATGGCTCTCTAGTGACCTGAAGGACTGACTTTTTTTGCATGTTACTCATAGCTCAAAAGTGATTCTATGTATTATGTGTTCTTGCACCATCAGGCTAGCACTAGGCTTTTGGCCATCTGCTCCAGTCTTCTATTTGTTGCAGGTCACAGATATTTTTGTCCATTTTGCCATGGAGCCTAGTAACTGGTGTCTGAGCAAAGTATATTCTGGAAAAGCATCAAGGGATGGAAAAGTCTGTTACTTACGTCAGTTGCTTGTTTGAGTGGTCCCTCACGTTCCCATCAGCTTGTGCCTAATTTGTCACTTGACTTTGCAAGTTTGTCTCTTTGTTCCTTGACGTTGGAGTCTATCCAGTTCAAAATTTAAAGGAAGTTTTGGATAAAAATCTAAAATTCAAGCCTGTGGCCAAAAATGTGTCCTCGTTTTCCAGAGTTTCAAATCCATGATTTTGCTATTTTCCAAAATCTCATCTATTACCACCTGTCACGTTATAGTGTCTCTCTGGGGTAAACCTTGCATGGTGTGTAATTCCTGTCCGTTAGATGACTTTTCCTTCAGATAGAGGCCAGAAGCATATAGAAATTGTGACCACTATAAGGTATCAAACTTACTTTCTTGTCAGTCCAACTCCAAATTTATGCTAATCTTTGAGATTTAGCATAATTTGTGAGGGTTTATATGTTCTTTCCTGATAGCAACAATTAATATAACTGTCTGGTGTTTTTTTTTTTTTAAATTTGGAGCTTTGAATTTTTGTCCTCTCAAAATTAAAAAAAAGCAAGTGAAGAGATGGTTTCAGAAGATCACTGTGCTAGATATATTACAACTATAAAAGATCTATACATTTTTATAAATGGGCAATGTAGAATATGAATATTGCTGATTTACCACCACTAGTGTACCATCCCTGCATTAACCTTTCAGTTAATTCTCATGACTTCCAATGATTTTATCTGTTGATATTGGCTCATTGTCATAGTTAAGTAACAGCACCTGACACTGAATGCAAATCAAGTGCATTTCAAGGATTTGCAGGGTGTTCAACACTAAAGTTCTTCATTCTGGCATACGGCCCCTAACGTTTATTGGCTCTGGCAGTTTATTTTGAAGTATTTTTCTATTGCTGCTGCTGCACATTTAATTTTTCCTAATTTCATATAACTGGATTAAAGCTATTATTTCCAGTGATTTTTATCTCATTTAGACAACAGGTATTTTTTGTTCATTTCTGATTAGCATGAAAAGGACACTTGTGTTTTCTGTAGCATTTGTCAACACAAATTGATTTTATGTAATGTCTTGATTTTATATGGTAGCACAAGCAATTTATTTCTGGACACTCACTGACTTAAAAGCTTTCAAAAATTGAAAAGAATCTGGACTGGGATCCTGAGAGGTTGTATTCTGTCTTCCATTACTTACCCACATGCATTTCTATGCTATTACAGCAAAACTCTACGTGTGCCCTGTTACGTTCCTGTGGCACAAGCTTTCTCAACAAGAAAGCTGTAGGACCTCACAGGAAAGGGTTTACTAAATCATCTGAGAGACGTTTCCTTCAGAGTACAAAATAGGAGACCATGCCTGATACTTTTTGTATCTTAATTGAGTTTTGTAACGAAGTTATTTTGTCTCCTTTGCAGGCAACTTCAGCAGCAGCAAGCAGAACTTGAAGTACATCAAAGAGATGGGCTGTCATCCTATGACTTATCTCAGGTGAAATTTCTCAAGTTTTTATTTATGTGCCTGTGATCTTTTAAAATGCAGTGCAATGGCAGATTTCAGCAAATTTAAGAATACATTGTGGCTGTCCCTGAATTCTTTTTCGTCAAATGTGATGGAGGAATTACCTTCCTCTGTGTATCTCGACAGGTGCCTGTTCCAAGTATACCAGCTAACGTTCATGAGGGTGGAAAGTCTGTGGAAAAACCTGATGCTATCTTCTCCCAGGAGAGAGATCCTAGATTTGCTGAGATGTTTGCTGGAATAACTGCTTGTAAGTTAATGTCTCTGATGTTTAATTTTTAATACTGTGTTAAGCTTGGTTACATGATGTGGAGCACAGCTTCAAGAGAAGCAAGTGAAACTACAGCGTGGCGGAGAAATTTCCAAGCAACGTCAATCTTCAGGACATTTCCTAGGATTTGCCTTGAGTTGATATTTCCCCTAAAGATGATGAGGAGTAAAATCAAGAAGGGTAGGACAGCTTTTGTGTCACCAGAGCTGCCTATTTTTGATTCTCATTTCATTTCACCTTAGGCAGTGTTCGTAGATACTAAATATACTGAGCACAACTTGCCTTTTCCAAGTAAGTATTTTCTTTTTTAAACAGCAGATGTGAGTTCATCTCTCTAAAGAGACATGGATTAAAAAAGTTGCTATGAAGTCTTAAGATAGGCCTGCAATTTTTTATCAAATCACCAGCTTGTGCATTGATGCTTTCAGAGGCGTATGCTGCCTTGAAGTCCAGTAGGATACTTGTTTTCTGGTCAGTTGAGTCACCTCCAGTTACCTGTCTATGAGTCATTGCTTTTTGGCAAGTTCTTCTAAGAGTGATAGGAGTCTCAGTAATAGTACATTCTTCTTTATTTTGTGAAAATTACTGCAAGGACAATGAGTCCTTACTGGGTGCCCTCACCAAAGGATATCCCCTCCATGTTCCAAGAGGTAGCAGCCAACTTGTCAGCTGGACAGACGTAACTGACTCAAACTAGCCCCAGCCTGTGCTGCCTGTTGCCCTAGTAGACAGAAGTCATTGAGAAGGCTGGCAGCTGAAACGGTCATCCAAAATATATCTGTAGGTAACCAGGCTCATTAATTCCAGTGCTTGTGGAAGAACTCATTAATTGTTTATTGTTCTTAACTGTCCTCACAGAAAAAGAGAAGTTTTTACATTTGTTTTAAATAAATCAATGTGCAAGCGTCACGCAGTGCATGAAGGAAACAACCCACAGGGTTTGACTCCAGGGGTGTTGGGAGATGACCTCACTGTGTTGGTTTCTTATGTCTGGCTTGGCCTTTTCAAATGGAGAAGGCACTGTAAGTGCAGGATAGACTTGATACTCTGTCCTCCTGTTGCTGGGACTTCTCTGTTATTCCTCTTCAGCCTTGTCTGTCTACTCTAACAGTGAAGTCAACAGCTGGGGCCATAAAAGGGGTCCATTAGAAGGTAGCAAGACTCCAGCCTGAAACACCAGAATGTGTTTTTCCAGGCAAAAACATCTTGCTTTTTGGCTGCCTTATTGGCTCCTTTTCAGGCAGCTCTCAACTGTTTGTGGGGAGGGGTTAGGGTTAAGGGTCTAGCAAGCTGTGAGGGAGCTAGGAGGTTATGTTCTTGGAAATGCCATTTCTCTTTTCATTCTTATCAATTTACAGGCTGTGCTTTTTTTGGGACATTCTCCCTATCTGAATTTCTCATGGGAGCTGTGATCAAGGTCTTTTCTGAATGATAAAAAGAGACGGTTCACAGTTAGAGATGGGATATGCTGTCCAAAACCAATATTGACAAACCTGCGTGCTGCCTGCAGGACATTTGCATTATGTTGACACCCGATCTTGTTCTCTGCTACATTCTGTAAAAATACAGGTTTGACAGAGGGAGATCGTTGCCATAATTGCATGCAGTGGCCACACAAAACTGAAAAACAAAAGTGAAGAGAAGAAGCAAGTGCCTTGAGGCACAGGATGATACGGTTCTTACAGCCATCTACATTCTACAGGCAGAAACACTGGTCCTACCAGCAGAAGGGCATATCATTGACCAGTAAAGTGATGGGATTTAGAGAGAAACAGGTCTTAAGGATGCAGGTAAACCACCAAAACAAAATAGGTTTTCAGTGCAGTATTGAAGGTGAGAGCAGAGAAGTTGTGTGTAAAGCTCTGAGCAGGAGTACGGCTGGGAGAGATGTGGGCCAGATTCAGAGGCCAAAGAGCATTCGGTGTAACTGAGGAGAGAGATCTTAAAGCCAATTTAGCTGCTTGTAATTAGTTTAGCTGTTCCCTTTGTCTTGGCCTCAACCTGCAGCACGGACCTCGGTAGCTGCCATGGCAACTCTGCTCCACTTGAGGAATTCCAGTTCATTTAGGGTACTCTCAATTTTGCTGGTGAGTTGTTCTCAAATAACTAAGGTACCCGCAGGATTTTGGCTCAGTCTTTTCCAACCCTGAGAGCTTGGTATTCCTGTCAAGGGTGGTCTTAGAAAATAGGACATCTCATGCAAAAAAAAAAAAAAGGCAAAATCATCTGTCTTTCTTCTCAGAGATATCTCAACCCATTCTTAATTCTTACTACTATGTACAAAATCTTCTCTAGACTTTGTCCCTGTTTCTCCTTGTTTTTTTCATATGAGAGCATAGGTGTGCAGCCCAGATTCGGTGTCTGTGCTGGGCAATATGTAGCCAGTGAGGAATTTCTACTTTACAGAGGAAAAGCAATGACAGTTTGCATCAGTAACATACATGCTCCTTCTCCGGTAAGGTTATTCAAGGTGGCTTTTTTTCTTTGGGAAAGTGAGCTTAGATTCTTGTCAGGAACGTAACGTAAGAATTTAGGTAACAGAGAAGAGCTGGTGTATGTTGGAGGCCTTTGGTGAGTCACACTCGCAAGGTCTTGAAAAGCTAGAGAAAACTAAAAAATACTCCTGCTACTTGTGAGTTGAGTGGGCCTTGGGTCCAGGAGAGCATCTTGTCAAATGAGTGGGAATCTGAAAAGAGCCAAGGGGAAAATGAGGAGGCAGATTTGATTTCTGGGCCTGTCAGAGGTGTGTAGCAACAGATGATTGCAAAGCCATCGGTGACTTGTGCAGTGTTTTGCACTTGGAGGTAGTAAGGGAAGATGGGGAAAGTGAATAAATGGTGGTGGAGCAGACTTTTAAATTATTTCAAGAACAATGGTAGTAGTGAGGTTTCCATGGGCTTTGGAATAATTCAGCGCCAGAAAATTAAATGAAGGGACCAAATGGCACTGTTCGCCCAATCTTGTTTCATTCAATTAGAGATTGATCTCCAGTTGCCACATTAAGACCACAAAATTAATGGCATCTCCACGTGTGTGTTATTCACTACGCTGGTCTGTCTTACACCCCACTGGGATGCTTCCTTCCTATTTCATGGCTCCCTCAAGCCACGTATGGGACAGCAAAATCCGTGAGAGACGGGTGTTTGGCCTTGCTGCAGCTCAGGTGAGTATGTCTTGCAGACACTGAGAGGTGCCCCCAGCCACCTGTGAGACTGAAATGCAGGAGGGGCTGCAGGGTGACCCAGGTCTGCAGGTGGTCCCTCTGAGATCTGCAGGCATGCCACCAAGCTGCTTGGGAGAGCCGGGTACTCCTGTCCGGCTATCCTAGGGGGAAGCAGGCTGTCAGATGATTAGGACAGGGGCTCTTTGACACCATTCCTTGGAATGTTTAACCCGTTGAGGTGTGGGCGTGCAGCCACTACCTCAGTGCAAAGAGGCTGCAACAACAACAGCAGCCCTGGAGGGCTTCTTCTGGAGCCTGAAAGGTACCGTCACCCGAGGCCACCCCCAGGTAAGCCATGGAGGTGCACATACATCAGACTTTGGACTAGGGTTGTTTCATGTGGCATTCCACCATTCCCCTGGGCAGACTTGCCCATCTTTCTTCCATAGAACCTTTGTTCCCCTCTCCAGTCTGTGGCTGGGACTCATGCACCCATCACTGCCCGCTCTCCGTCTCCTGTTCCACCTCCTGCCCGCGTGGTTGGGAGCAGCTTCCAGTGGGCACAGAGAATGTCTGGGCTGCGTTGCTGGAGGGCACGTACCAGTGTTATGTTCCACGCAAACAATAGCATTAATGAGGTACATCCTGGGAAGGGGGTACGAAGTAGACACAAACCAGCTGTGCCTCTCGTTTCATACTGAATTGTCATATAGCCCTTTTGTGTCATTCTTTATACGTTCCACAGGGCTTCTATGTAAATCTTTCAGAGGGAAAGAAAAATTCCTGCTACATACACACATTGCAATGCTCATTAAATAATTTTGCCTTCATTTTCTCTTCCCCTAAACATTTCTCTTTCTGTGATTTGTTTTTCTTTTGTAGCAGATAAAAAAATGATGGCCTCGGCATCCACAGCAGGAAACCAGCAGCTTTACTCACAGGGAAGCCCATTTCAGCCAGGACATTCGGGAAAGACCTTCAGGTACTGTAGTCCAGATCCTGAACGTATCAGTTTCTGTCTGAGAGCAGGAGACTGTTCCCCTTTGATCTGGTGGAAATAAAACTGACCTAAGGTGCAAGGGCTTTCTGTACATGAATGAACTTTGCTTTGTGTACACTTCACTCCTACGTGACGTCTCGGCACTTGGCCTAGGCTTACAAGCTGAGAAGATTTGGATATCGCTGTTAAAAATAGTGGCTGGTAAGTAAATACTTGTTGCTGTGATGTAATAGGACAAAGCTAAGAAGCAGCAGCAGATCATGAAGGGAAGTAAATCTGAGAGGTGATGGGGCAGGCTCAGAGATCAGAGGAACATTCAACCAACCTAGGAAGGTGCGGGAGATTTGTTTTGTACTTCCAGCTGGCGGTGCTTCTGATGGCTTCATTGAAGGTAATCGGTGTGGACACCTTATTAAAGGGAACAGAGGGCTGCTTCATCCACAGTCCACGGTGAGGGCTGGGACATGGGCATGAGCAGTTTTCTGAGGTGGTCCGGCATTTTTTGAGGCATCTTTGAGTTATTCAGGATGCCTGTTATTGTTGCCTACCAGCTGGTAACACACATTTGGCTAATGTGAATTTTAAGAGTTTGCCTGCATTTCCAGTCACTTTTTTGAGAGTGTGGTATCAGTGATTGTATGTGCCCTTCTTATCACCATTCTGGGACCATGATACTGAGGTTTCATTCTCCTGTTTTAGACCAACAAAGGTTGTGAAAGTGAAGGAACAGCCATATGGATCCTGTCAGTTCCAGAAATTTGGAAACATCTGCAAACTATAATTTTATTTAAACCCAGGAGTTCTTGAAGTTATAATTGCTAATAATCTCAGTGCAGAGAAATAAAATCATGTGTGTATGTTTTGTCAAATTGAAACCAAGAATAACTAGGGGAGGGAGGGAAATGATATTAAATTAAAATGTATTTTAATTGGATATTGCAAATTACTGAATAGCTGACTTGCCATCTTGGGGTTTGGCATGTGTTTTCTTTGTTATATTCCTGATGTTTTAACTATAGCTTTTTCCCTCCTGCTGTTCTATTACGTCCAGTAATGACACATCTGTAACATTTCCACCCTCAATGAACTGTCCTCCCTGGAATCTCTCCAGGCTGATCCATTTGCTCACTGAGCTTGGGCAGCTTCTAAGGCACTATTTTGCAGACTCCTGGTTTCAAAGTTTGTATTCCAGATGCAGTCCAAGCCCCTCAGATGATGGGACTTGCCAGTCCAGCTGGGAAGGTGTTGGCAGCAGGGCCAGCCCTCCCCAGCAGCTGTTGTGGTCTTCCCAGTTAAACCAGATTTAGATGGACACTCTGGTCCGTGTTTCCCTCTTTGGAGACTGTGGTAGTAAAAAAATAAAATAAAATAATTTAAAAAAAAAAAAGCAAACTCTATGAAGAATTTCTAAAGACATGCTTTGCTTTTAGGCAGCTTAAGAAAGACAAAATAACAGCTCCCATATTGAAATGCCTGCCATGTTTTGCTTACCACTCTGGGAGGGATTTTGTCAGCCTTCTCGGAGGATTCAGATTCCTGCTTCCTCTCTGCTCAGCCTTGTTTACTTCTTTTCCCAATCTGCTCGCTTCTTTCTCTGTAAGACTGTGAAAACAGACAATAGGGAAGGGACTGGAGAAAAGAGCAAGCTGTTTCAATTGATGCACAAAAGCTTTTTCTTTATGTTGTGTCTTCATTTATATTTATTTCTAGATGACACATAAAATAATACATATGTATTTTTCTATATAAAAATACATACAAGCACATTCACAGTGTGTGGTTATAGATTCAGTTATTTAAGACTTCCATCAGAATAAAATGGTAAAGTGGAACAGTCTTTCAGAAAATTTTCCTTCTAATTAGGAGTTTCTGGGAAATTTCTCTGTAGTGAAATTCAGTAATTAGGAAACAACTAACATATAAACAAGTTTCTGTGGAAATACTTATCTCTCTTTCTTTTTTTTTTATTTTATTCCAAAGCTATTACATTAGTTTATATTTCTGTCTTGATTATTCTTTTGCCTGGGTATATAACTATATGTTCTTCTTTAGCATCATTTGGTGAAAATAGGAATTAAAAGCTCACATTTTTTTATATAACAAACACTTTTTCATTTCCCGGGCAGGAAACAAATAAAGAAGTACTTATAAGTATCATCTTTTTGTGCATCTTCATTTAGGGTGGCATTTAAGCAAATGCTTAAATACTGTTGACTTTAAGCACAAATTATATACTCTCTGCAAACAGGTTTCTTTTAATGCATCAAATATTGAACTAGTATTGCTAAGTGTTTATGCGCCATGTGTGAGACTGATTTTTATTCTTCCAAGCCCTTTCAAAGAGATTATAGAAGTTTAATTCAAAATAATTCTGCCTTCTGTGTCTATTTGAAGTGACGTTTTAGAATGCCAGTATGTTTCATAGTTGTGTGAAGGGTTTAAGTTCTTTTTTATTAAGATTGATTGAACAAATTAGTTTTAATGTGATTATCGAAATTTCTGTAACTGGAAAACTTTATGCATTGAGAATGTATCCCACAAATGAGGTGCTCTTTCTGTTCCTTCAGTTCATCTGTGGTACACGTGCCTGGTGTGAACGACATCCAGTCTTCTTCATCGACAGGCCAGAATCTGACACAGATTTCTCGCCAGCTAAATCAGAGTCAGGTTGCCTGGACAGGAAATCGCCCACCATTTCCAGGACAGGTATTGATTAAAGGTGTTTTTCCTTCATGGTCATTAAAGATTTGCAATCTCTGTGCTTTCTGCAACAGAATTAGTAAACCCCATTTGTAACGTGATTAAATTGTACTTTGTCTTTATCGTTGGTGGTTGGAGAGAAATGTGTTCCCCCACTTCTGGTCCTTGGCAGGTAATAATAATTTTAGAGAGCTGCCCTACATGTAACTGCATTTAGTTTTTGATAGTGTTCATAATAGTGGCAGTCGCCACGCTGACATAAATCCCAGCGGAAGGTCTCGGTCTTGCGTTTATTTTTATATGTGCACTGGATGAAATAAAAGAGGACAGCTGTGAGGCTTCAGTATTAAGCCTGACATTGAATCACTGGACCAAGGCCTTGCACTCAGCAAGCGAGCAGTGCAATCAGAAAGGGACACCTACAAATCCAGCCATGAATTCAGAGCAGAGGGTTCGGAGCCTGTTGCCCCCCTGTGAGCACTGGCCGGTGTAGCTCAAGCTGTGTCCGGTGCTGGAGGAAACAGCACATCCCTCCATCAGATGTCCTGTGCTCGGCAATCTTAGCTCAGAAACCATCTCTCTTCTTCTGCATAACAGTGGAAAAAAAAAACTGTTTTGAAACTGTTAAAGACAAATATGGAATAATCACGTTTGATCTCTCACTAACGCTGCTCTTAATCACTCTTGACTTTCCATTGTTCAGAAGGGTAGAATGGCATGTTGGGGCAGGCACCAAACAATTTTTCAATAACTGAATGTTTTCCACATTAATCACAGTTATCCTGCCCAGCCTTCAGTGAGCCATGGTTATTCTGTCACACCTGTTTGATGAAATCCAGTCATAACTTTAATTTTTTTTTTTTAATATGGAGGATGCTAAAAATGACAAAAAAGACATTACTTATCCCTCTTACTGTCCAAATTCTGTCCAAGTGAAGAGAGTTTGTATGTGAGTAGCATAGGGAAATTGGAATTCATTCATTCGTCATAAATAAAGTAAAACAGAGTTAAGCCTTGCAGAAGTGACACGTCATGGTCTCGCTGTCACTGTGAAAAGCTTTAGAAATGTACAGTTTCTTACCTTGGAACCGAGCTGAAGACTTAATAGCATGTTCATCATGTTATATGCCTGTTGGGATCTGTTTTCCTCCCCCAGTTCCCCTGCATTTGTCCTAGAGAATGGCTTCACTTGAGTGCATTGATTGCCAATAACAGCGCGTGTTGTTAGAAGTAGCCAGAGATGTAATCACCTTTAATTTCTATTTGTGGAGCTCGTTAGGCAGTGAGTTTTTCTTGGAACTGCTGGATTTGTTCATAATGCAGGAAATGGTTTATGGGCAGATTCTGTCTGTAGCATTATACATTGCTGTAGCACATGACTTTGGATGAGATGATTCACCTCCCTTAGTCTCAGAGTACGTTGTGCGTCTCTCAAAGCCACCTTGCAGTGTTTAAGCATTCGTGTAACATTCTTGGAGATCCTATGGTGAAGTCATTGTGTAGATGGAAATGACAGCAAGTTGGTTTTCAATACCCTTCAATTAACTCAGCTGCCCAGTTAAAGCAAAGTTAGACTGTTTCTTCCCAGGGCTGGTGGTTCACGCTCCCTCCCAAGCCTTTTACAAGGCAAAATGACTTTGCTGCCTGTACTTTTAAGCAGAGAGAGAAAGCAGCTCATTAGCTTTGAAATTTTGACCATTTACCCCCAAGCCTTTGAAAACTGTGGTCCTCTGAGAACTGCATATATTCTGCAAGACATTCAGATAACTGTGATTTTGCTGTAGCATTGCAAAATCAAAACACCTGGCAAATAAGGGTGAATTCTTTGTACCTGTTCAGTTTGAGATTAATCCCTGTAATAGAAGTGAAGGAAACAATTTTTTTCCAAGTAGCTCTGATATTGAGTACACGCAAGTTAATCAGCAGGAGAGCTGTAAGTGTTGGGTTATAGTATGTTGTGTTCCTTATGCAGCAATAAGTTGTCTTTGACAGAGATGAAATATGACTGAAAGAGGAGTAACGTGCCTGTTCGCATCTGCAGAGTTTATTTAGTCTGTACTTTACATAGTTCAAAAGCGAGTCTGCTGTGCTGTTCCTCAACAGTAGAACTCATTCCTTTATTTTCACCCCTTCTTCCTCAGCAAATTCCGTCTCAGTCGGGCAAGGCTCAGTCATCTCCCTTTGGGATTGGAACAAGTCACACCTACCCAGCCGATCCGTCCTCGTACAGCCCCCTTTCCAGCCCAGCCACCTCTTCCCCGAGCGGGAACGCCTACTCCAGCTTAGCAAACCGAAGCGCGGGGTTTGGTAAGTTTTAGATGCCATAACACAGAAATGCACACAAAAACAAAACTCTCCAGTGTTAACTTAATTTAAAATCTTCCAACCTGTTCTTTTTGTGGGTCAGTTGGGAGCCCAGGGGCTGAAAAGGGTTTTACTTTCTCCCTTTGAGCAGAATGGACTGAGGTGACCTGTTCCCTCCATGCTGTGTCTTCTCCACATCCAACACACTTCTGAATATTGTGGCATTTTCTTGGTTTGGTTTTTTTTTTTTTTTTTTTTAATTCAGTAAGTAGTGGCGTGACAGATTCAAGTTCCTTACAACAGTAGTGCACGTCCTCCCAAATTGTGGTCAGCAGGTTCAGTTTCTTTTCACTTCTCAGGAGAATGCTTAAATGGCACAAATTTGCATTCTTTTCATTTTTCAACTTCCCTGACGGCACGCTGGTGTCCTCTTGCCCAGAGATGGCTTGTTGGAGTTTGGCTGGAGACGGGATTTTTTTGTACCCACGCTGCTACTAACCTAATCAGAGTAGGTGCCATGTTTAGAAATGGTTTTCTTTTCCTATTACATGCTAATTTAGTGGCTTTCAGACCGTGACCCACTGGGTGACCCTTGGTAAGTTTTCTGCACTCCACCAGCAGAATAATATTAGAGAGTAAAAAGAAATCATGAATCTATCAGTGATAAACACACACGGAATCCATGAAGAATTATGCTGGCCGATAACAATGTGCAATTCCAAACAGCATAGGTAGCCATGTGCTAATGTGTGTTGTTTTTATCATATCCCTGGAGGATGAAATCAGTGCAGGCTGTTGGAGCTCAGCCTCCCGGAGTGCAGACCTGTGCCCCGCTGCCTAGAAAAAGCGCAGGGAAACGGGGCTGTGCCCACAGAGCTTATTCCTGACTCCATTTCCACAAATGTACAATGTTTTGTACATTTGTTTATGAAACAGCCTTGCATTTGAGGCTGAAGATACTTGGCAAGAACCCTTTCACCTAATGAGAAACATTTCCTGACCTACATCAGTTTGGATGCTATTAATAACGCAGAGACAAATGTCCTGAACCTCCGGCCGGCGGTAACGGTTTTGCTGAAAAGAAGCATCATTTGCCTCACTGAGTTAATTCCAATGTATTGTTCTGAGAATGAAAATAATAATAAAAATAAAAAAAAAAGAAACAAACTTGCAGCTTTCTTTTGAAGGGGAGCTTAGATGAATTTTGTTTTGGCCCATAAAATGGCTGCAGGGTCTCTGAGTCAGCTGAATTATTGGTTGTGGTAATGTCACTAAGGGAAGAACTGTAATTAGCTACTTTAGATGTGATAGAAATGCGTCACTACAGCCTGTTTACTTTCCTGTAAAATGTTCACTTTATCTGTTTTGCATGGTTTAGCTGGTAGCCAAAAGGATTGGATTAAGCACGTGTTTCTGTATTTTCTGAAGCCATGACTATAAGTAGTGACTGATCTGACATGATCGAGTCTGGTTATTGGAGACCTGACATAGCGCACGGGGAAATTTGGCAGCCTTGGCAAAGGGCACTGATAATCAGGGAGATCCAGATGTACCCAGCTTAGTTCTCTGAAGTTCTCTGAGGGGAAAATAGGCAAAAATATTTACATAGAAAAAAAGAAGGAAAGAAAAAAAAAAAGAAGGTAAAATGTCTGGAGGAAAAGCATAAATCTAGTGGCAAGGTTTCTAAAATGCTAATTCTTAGGAGACAATGTAAACAATTGGAGGAAAATTATCCAAAAATTTTATATCTTTGGGGCCAGTCTGTAGAAATACAAGGTAAAATGAGTCCCGCTTAAGTGCGACCTGTGACTGTACTCATGAAAAGTGTATGTGTAATAGGTGACCAAATTAATGTGTGTGGCATCATGTTTTTTTCTGGTGGACTATTTAAAAGAAATCCATCTTCCTAAAATTACCTTTTTAAGTGTGCTTACCATAAAAACTTGCTGTTTGTGTTACTCTGTGAAATTTAAATGGCCTCAGACTTTTAAGAAAGCGTCACCATGTGAACAGGATAATAATTTGCTGTAAGATGGATGTTGGATCAATCATATTGGAGGGCATAATCGTCCAGCAAACAGCACTCCGCATTTAATACAGCAATGCCTGCGTTTAATACAGCAAGGCAGTTGACTTGATTTTATTGTTGTACATCTGCTTACAAAATCCGAAAGCGTGCTGCTTAGATGGTAAGGTGTTATTTGGTAGGATGGTAAGAAGTTATATTCTGCTCTGCAAGAATTAGTCTTTTAAAGAGAAAAAGCATCCTGATGATGCGGTTTGGTTTTTAAGTGAAATGGCAAATATTCCTTATAAGTGATTAAAAAGTGGTGGTGGGATGCTTGAAAATCCTCTTCCAGTGCCTGGCTTGTGGTGTCCCTGTGCGTTTTGTGAGCAATTCTCCTGACGTGCCCATACAGCTCTGGGGGTGGCCCCCACCCTGCAGTCAGGGCTGGAACTCCCTTCAGCTTCCACCCTTCAGGGGCTGGGCATCACTCGGGGTATTTTCTCTAAGACTCATTTGCAAACACAGGCATTGATGGGTGAAGCCTTGAGAGCTGGAAGGTGTTTTGAAGCAGCTGGTCTCTAACTTCTGCCCTTTCTCCCCCCCTGTCCAGCTGAAGGTGGCCAGAGCAGCAGCCAGTTCCAGGGGAGACCTTCCGAAGTTTGGTCCCAGTGGCAGAGCCAACATCACAACCAGCAAAGCGGAGACCAGCATTCGCACCCTCAGCCCAGTCAGACTGAGGTGTTCCAGGTGAGGAGAGCCCAAAGTCCCTCTGACAGCTTCTCACTGCTGTGTTGAAGAACCGTGGCCCTTGATGACCAGGGTGCCAGCAGGCCTTGGAGCAATTCCCTCTTGCTGTGAGCTGCCGTAGCCTTGCACTTGCATTACCTACAACTCAGCTGAAGAACAGCATCTTTGCTGATTTAAAATGCTGTTTTCCCTTTTCTTTGCACCCTGTACTTAGGTGTGTTTTGCGGGGGAGCCATTAAATAGTCCCAAATAGAGTGTCTTTCTTATCCTATCGCTGGGCTCTAAAATCCCAGTCAAGTTGAATTAGACATCAGTGTAATTCTCTGATAGTATAGAATTGTCATAGAAGATAGTGGCCAATAATTTTTTGAAGTTAAACCCAGTCAGATATCTGACAGTTGGCAAACAATCCTCTTCAACTACCTAATTTTGTAATATTAAGTACAGTTTTGGGCCTTCACTACAGATGGAGTGGGACTTCATAAGTTAACTAATAAGGTCTCTGTCCTTGTATAACTTGTTTTTAAATTAGATCAAGAAGACAGTTTGCAACAAAACAATGCAGATAAATGCAGGAAAGACAGTTCAAGCCCCAAGCAAGGTTTAGAAGTGGGGCACCTCATTATCTTTTACAAAGTAAATCCACCTGCAAGACCGGGCTGGTGCTCATTTGCTCTCAGGAGCGCTGCAGAAGCGACGTGAGCCTGAAAATATTCCTGTGTGAATGAACCATTGCTTCACACAGGAACAAAAAACATCACTACGTCTGGAATAACTACCTGTCTGCATGCCCCATGGCCCAGGCAAGATTAATCTCTTCCATCTCTCTCTGTAAGCAAAGTTTAATCGCTTTGCACATTCTTTAACCCAAAAGCATATTGAAGGGAATTCCAGTGGGGCTGATGGCATTGTGGTTTGATGGCCCACGGAGACATGGGGCTCTGAGCAGCATCTTGCTTGTGTTTCAGGCGAGTGCTGTGTCCGAGCAAACATCTTACAAAATGAGTGGGAAGGAGAAAGGGAGGATAGGAGAACTGGGCTCACCTGCAGAGCTCTTGGAGGTGACTCTGCATTTGGAAGGAATTAGGATAATATCTGGATGTGATGAGAAACTCGGATGAGCTCAGTTCAAAGACCTCTGAGAAGTTGCTTGGACTGTTTGTGCCTGAAGCCAGCCCCGGGTCAGCTGGACATAGAGAGAGAGGCAGACTTGAGAGGGGAGCTACCCTGCCAGGGCTGTACCCGAGATGACCTTGCTTCAGAGGCGCCAGCAGCAGAAATGCCTTCAGAGATGGAAATTTAAACAAGTGGGGGCAGCTACAACTTCCCCTTGGCTGGGGAGGAATGTGGGAAAACATTAAATAAGTGCAAGTCCTGGTCAGGAAATGAAGGCTGACCCTGGCAGCTGAGAAACTGCCAGTTGTGTTCGCAGCCTCTTTCACCACCATCGGCAGGGATGCTACAGAGACCTCAGATGGGCTTTAATTTGTCTTTGTTTGGGGGTAACTTCCCCGTACACAGCAGCTCTCAGTAGTTATTCCTTTACAGAGCAGATCTTGTGAGCTTTCTTTGCTCTTTAGGTTTTGTTTTATTGTAAGATTAATGAGCCATCCCTGGCAAAACTTGGCTTTGCAGTAAGAGCTTATTATTGTAAGGACTGACAGGAAAAGCCAGCGTAAACTCTGGTTTTCTCAGCAAGGGATATCTTTTCCCTGTGGCTTCAGTCTCCAGCTGGGAGGAAAGGTTGAGTATTTTTTGAAGCCTCCTGCAGGGATCTCACGTGGCTCAAGACACGTGGGAGCAATTACCATGAAATCCCATTTCTCCTGAGAAGTTCCTGCTAATTCCTCTGCCTTTGTCCATGCATGGAGGCTGCTTGGGCATCTTGTTTAGCTGGGGTGGATGCAGAGTGCTGATGAGGAGGGGAGACCCTCTCCAAACTCATGCTTATACAGCAGGAGCTCCTTTCTGCAGGGTGGAGGAGTGTGTGGGATGTTAAATACTTCCCCATGCAGTGAAACCAGAGAGTTTGCTTCTGTCCATACATAGCTACCCTTTCCAACAGGGGCTGCTTCAGCCTGGGGAGAGTATGGAGCAGCTCAGACTTGCCTTATTCAAAGGAGCAATCCAAAACTTCTGCCCTGCTGAACTCCCACCTCCTTTTCAGAAACGCCCCAGCAAAACACAAGCAGCACGTAAATCCTAGCCCAGCCCCCTGCACAGGTCTGGTTTTCACCTTATTTATCTAACCTTTGGCTTTTTCTGGTTTTACGCTGAAAAGATGAACAGGAAGCAGTTTGTGTCTGGGTAACGTGTTAGCAAGTGACACTTCACTTTTATTTTTCCTTATCATGCAGGACATGCTGCCGATGCCGGGGGATCCGACGCAGGGTACTGGCAATTACAACATTGAAGATTTTGCTGACCTGGGCATGTTTCCACCGTTTTCTGAGTAGCTTGCAAAGCAGAAGTGGAAGTTCTTCTCCGAGGCCATTTCAGTGTAATTTTGGCTCTGCTTTTTCTGTGTTGCATTTCTGTAGAAGCTACTAAACCAGAAGACACATTTCTCATGTTTCAGATAGTGGTGTAGGGCTTGCTCTCTCCTCCTTGGGGTGTCAGTGCCGACAGAGGAGCTCCAGCACTTGGTAGTGTTCGTTGACAGCTCCATTTATTTTTGTTTTATTTTATTGTCATCTACCTCAGAGATGAAACACTTTGCTCGATTTAAAAAAAAAAAAAAAGAATCTCTGAGTCTTAAATATTTGAATGTGAATGATACCTACTATTTCCTTTGAATGGTAATTTTTAAATAGATAACAGAGTAACAAAGACTAACAGAGAAAAGGTAAGGTAATGTCTTGTTACAGTGCCTACCGCTCAATTTCGATGCCTTGCTTTAAGCTTAAGTTTCTGGAAGCAGACACAATATTCTGTTTTCTTTGATTCTTGTAGATTTTAGGTCACTTTAAATGTGAGATTAAGCAACATAATGTAGGCCTCTCTCACCAGAAGGTTCAGTTCTGCCTTTTCTAACTTAAACTTGAATGTGTGTACATTTTGGTACTTTATGTATATCTTGTGCTGTATGAAGTGATTTCCTGTACTGGTTTCTTTTGCCTTTACCAAGGGTCCATTCTGAAGTGTACTGACAAGGTTGACAGTATATGTGGAGGATTTAGATGTTGTGGGAGTCTCCATCACTTCACATAGGTGTTCTTAATTCAGGTGGTTCTCTATTCAGAACAAACATTTACTTACATAAGCTATTAGTCTGTTTTTGCACTGAATTGAGGCCTATAACTATACATTTTTCACTGGCTGCTTTAATTTCTATTGTTCTTGCTTTTCCAAAAATATTGCCTCGTAAAAAATGACTGTAAACACATCGAGACTGCATTTTCTATATTAGCTGCATTTCCTTTCTGTGAAGTACTTTTTTATACTGTGAAACCTCACATTTTAACAGTGCAAGGTGGTGGCCTATTCTTAGGAAATCATTCAAGCTCATTTGCTGCAAGCAGTGAGATGGTTTTGTAGTGTATAATTTTTTTAGAGTGAGTTGGTAATAGATATCAATTGGACTATTGTCCACTGCGTACACAGTGATAACTTGAATTTTTGCTTGGATTCTCAAGCAATCACTTCTGTTAAACCCTGTTAACCCTATTCTGTTAAATAAGGGATTTTCAGCTTACCAAGTATGTCGAGGACTCTTGACTACTCTGAATGCTATATGCTTTTCCACAGAGGTAAGTTAATCGCCTTCCTCCTGGCTGAGTCACCTACTGTACGTCTTCATCAGAAATGTGGTAGAAAGGTTTTTATTCAATGTTCCATATGCAGGAGACGTTACAGAGGTTGGGTTGTAAGGTCAGCATTTTTCTCCAGTTCGTTTCTTCAGGGATGGGAGGAGAAGGAATCACTCACAAAGGGCAAGGAGCTCAGAGTTCCCGGGTGCAGGTTGTTCATAACCTTTGAGGTCGGCCGGTGGTAGCCAGCCTTTGGGGAGGAGGAAGGGGGCAACTTCCCTCCACTTTTGCCTGTTCAGGGGCCATCACCGACCTTGAAACAGCAACCCCAGGATGTAGCCCCCATCTAGAAGATCACAGTATCTGCAGCAATTCTTAGACCTTGCTAAGGTCTGCCTTCTTGTAGCTCCTCTTGAATTCTGGGAGGTCTCCGATGGGAGGCACTGCTCATCGCTGCAGTCCATCCTATCAGGGTAATATTCCAAAAAGCAGACAGGCCCCCGTCCTGCAGCCTGCTCTGGCCACCCTGGTTTCATGCTGACGAGCAGCACAGGAGGCTGGGCTGCAGCAAACGTGACCCAGGGACGTGGCTTTAACCGTCAGCCATCGCGGGGTGTTCCACTCTGACTTTGCTTCCCTGGCCTCCTCCGAGAAGAGCATGTAGTTTTCAGTATCCAGGAAGAGTCCTTCCTACTGTTCCTGTCGCTAAATCTGGGACCAATCTCCTACCCTACATGCCAGTGGGGCTAGGAATGCTTCCGAGAAGAGCATGTAGTTTTCAGTATCCATGAAGAGTCCTTCCTACTGTTCCTCTCACTAAATCTGGGACCAATCTCTTACCCTACATGCCAGTGGGGCTGGGAATGCTTTTTTTTATGAGAATTTTTTTTGTGCTAGGTGCAGTACCGGAGACGCCTCAGATCTCCTGGTCTGTCCTTGCCTCACCAAAATCACACTGAGAACAAACAAACAAACAAAAAAAAAACCCTTGTATTTCTTCTTTCCCAGAGATCAGGAAAACACCTTCTTAGGTAAGCAAACCTCTAATGCACTATTGTTTTAAATACACGGATGTTTATTCCCTTGGATCCTTCTCCCTTTCCGCTCGCGCTGCTGGGCTGAATGACTGACTGCTCATTGAATTAGAGGGGCAAAGCTCTGCTGGCCCAGAAGGAAGTTCATTGATGTCTGTGAAAGGTGCCTGGATGCTGCATCTGTGCAGCGGGACGTGCTTCTAGAGGGGGCTAATCACGAGGGAGAGCAATAGATGAGCAGTTTATATCTCTGCACAGAAGGCGCTTGACATGATAAATGTCAGTTCTTCTAAATTTTTTTTAAAAGCATTTCTCCGTAAAGTGAAAAATTAATGGAAAAAATGCTGTTCCTCTGTTGTATATTGCCCAACAAACTGCTCTAATTATATTTATAATTACCTTTGTTCCTGTATTCAACCTAAAAATAAGGTTTTTAAAGTAATTGTCTTTCTCCTAACATCAGTGATGATAACTTCCTCAGTGTGTTATGGTTTTTATACTACTGTAGAAGGCTTCTTGTGTACAGAATTTGATTGTGCAGATAGAAGTGCACTGTTAGCAGAATTTCAAGCACATCTCTCTTTTTTTGTTGTTGTTGTTTTTTAAATACAGTATTATTTTTTTGAAGCCAACATGCCTAAGGCATCAGAGCATGGACTGCTTCTCACTTTGTAGACCACTCCTGCCTTCCCAGTTGGGAAGGGGGATGGCTACTCTGTTAAGGGGCATTCCGGATAGCGCCAGGTTTGGGTTTTTCCCTGTGAGCCATTATGGTCCCTCGTTTCTGTCCTGCCATCCCGAGGCAGTGCTTTCTTCTTGGCATTTCTGCCCTTCCTTGCCTCCCCTCCCGTTCCTGGCCATCCCATCTGGGAGGCGCTGGCTTTGCCCTTCCCAAGCCAGCAAGGAGGCAGCGCTTTATTAGCTTAAAGTTTGGCAACTTTGTGCTTCTGGCCGAGCAAACGAGCAAGTTCAGCATTTGCTGCCGCCGCCGCCGGGCACCCCGCGCTGTCCTCGCCGCCGTGTCAGTGGCTTGCTCCTCTGAAGCAGCCTCGTCCCAGGTCGTGTAGCCAAAAAAGCTGCGTAGCATTGGCTGTGCTGTACCTTTTTGTCATGTGTTTCGTTACTAAAGCAACTTACTTATTCTAGAGCTGAAGTTATAAAGTGCATTTGGAATGCTAACGTTTTTATTACGTGCCGTTGGTGTGGCTTTGCTGGCACTTTGGCTGCCGGTTTCCAGAATTTCACAGGTGGTGGATTTCTTGTTTCTTTTGTGCTTTTTTTTTTAGCTGGAAATAAAGCTGTGATTTCTGATCAAACTGTGTTGCAAACACAGGGTTTCTTGAAACTGAATCTTTTGGTTTTAAAACTGATGGAGCAAGAAACTGCAAATAGTAATGGTCTGGGTGAGTTATTTCAATGAGCAGGCATGTAGACTGAGAAGATTTTAGATACTAAAATATTTACATTCATTTATTCAGACAAGTAATCCTGTTTAACAAGAGGGACTCCAGCACATTACTTGTAACAAGTGCTACTGGCGGTACCTACAGTGATGCTTTAACCAGATAGTTCCATGTGTAGCTTTGTTGCCTTTTTTTTTTTTCTTTTGAAGTACAGTATGAAACTGTAAATACTTCTTGCAGTACTGCCTTTTTAACTCTTAATTACTTTTGGCACAGTGTTAAATAGTGTTGGATTTACCCAATTGCTATGACATATATTTTTATACATAGGTGTACTCTTTTTTCGAGAATAATACAGCCATTTTGTCATTAATGCCTTATCAGTGTCATACTGCTGTTGCTCTTCGTTTGCAAGGTATCGAGTGGACTAATTTCTAGTTCAGATATTTTCACTTTTCCTGGCAGTGCTCAAATTTGGCTTCAGGTGATTTTTGTCAGAGTCCCATTTTTCACAGTTGTTAGCTGTGAGAAGAGGAGAATGTGGGCTTTGTTTTGTTTCTATTAACGGAGCAAAGAAAAGGTGATGGCATCTAATTGTTTTTAAAAGGTCAGTCTTTTCCTACTCCAGTCCAGAGTGCGTTTGGTGGAACTGATGACTCTGGGCACTGATTACTTTGTGTAGATTAATGGTCTTTGAAAAAAGATAAAAAGGGAAAAAAAGAAAAAGAGAACAACTCCAAAAATGGGCTTCTGTCATTGTTAGGCACTTGGTTACTTATCTGTTTAAACTCTTCATCTTGATGTGAAATTGTGCTGTGGATAAAGTGTATTTTGTACTTCTGAATGTTCTATATTTATGACTAACAAGTACAGAATCAGTTGTGTGTATGTATAACTAATAACTGCCTTTTTAAATTTCATTAAAATAAAAATGTCATGAGCTGTTGTTAATTCCTGTCTTTCTGTAAATAAATAAGAGATGCTGTTGGGAATTGTCAAGTAGGAAATAACCCTCAGTTACGAGATTCGTGCCAAAATCAGAAGATTAGGCACTGATCTTTGTCTTTAAAATCTCCTCCTATGCTGTGTGGTCGTGGGCAGGAAGTTCCCCTTTTATCTGTCTTGCATAAAGGCTGTCCAAGGGAGCGGGAGAGAAATGGTGGTTTGAGATTTCAACTTTTAAAAGAAGCTCCAGAAAAACATGAATTAACACCTTTGTTCTGCCGCTGACACTGAGGTGTGTGAATCGGTATCTGTTTTGTCGAGGGTTTCATTAGAGCACAATTGGTTTAGACTTAATTCATAGTTTGTGGCAATTTTTATTCACTCCCTGGGGTGGTAACACAGTGGTTGCTTTGTCCACCTTTTGGTCTCCTTGTTCAAAGCTAAAAGACACTTGTATCCTTCCTGCAAACATTCTGGTGACCTTTTCAGACTTTCTTATGTAAAGCGCATTTGCCCGTCACTGTGGTTCTTCATTGTTTTTACGCTGTATTTCTTTGTCAACTTGATAGGGATTTACCTTGCCAATAAATCCAAAAAGCCGATGAGTGGAGCATGGCAGGAGCTGCAGATGCTGTGCTCTCGG